CACGAACTCGACTTTGAGGTTTTTGTACCGCTTTTTCGACTTGCCAAGCAGGCTCCGCCGGAACACCCTCTTGTATGTCCAAGCCACTTTTTGGAACCACCGCTCCTCGCCATATTTCATAAGCACGTAGTTCAATGCCGCATACACCACAACCCGTAGGTATGCGGTGCCCAGCATGTTGGTCAACTGCATCAAGCGCCCTCCCCACGAATCCTCTTCAATCGTGAAAAGGAACAACAGGAGGCTTAGTGCCGCAACGAGGTTGGCTAAAAACGGCCGGTTCTTGTACACCAGCTCCCGGTATGGAGGCCCCGAGCTGAGTACCATGGAGTTGAGAATGTACTGGAAATTCGTAAACAAGAAAAGCACAGTGTTGTCGGACGACTTGACGTTTTCGTCGTCGTTGGAAGGCACGGGCTTCACGTACCATGGCTCTTTTTTGACGGAACGCCAGATGCTGACTTGGAAAATGAAGATCACCGCAATGTGACAAATGAGCGGCATCAACACTTTTGGACTCACCAAATTTGCCGTAGGTTTGCGTACGGAAAGACGTTCAAATGGCTTCGACCACGACATGAAAATCGCCAATGGCAAAATCAAAAACAAGTCAATGTATAAGAACTGGAAATCGCCCAAGTTCGTGCCCATCTTGTACAAGATCGACACGGTGATGAACTGAATGGCTGAATACAACGACATGTACTTGAAACAAGCAAAGCTTGTCACCAACGACGACCGACCTTCTTTGATCACATCTGGCACGCATGAAATTTCAAACACTCTCGATGTGAATGGAGCTGCCACGGAAGCCTCGGCTTCACTCAATGAAATTCCAACATCGGCCGCCTTAAGAGCTCCGCAGTCGTTGGCACCATCACCGCAGAATCCAACAGTATAGTCGATCTTCTTAAGCTGTTCCACCAACTCGTGCTTTTCGTCAGGCGACATACGGGCAAAAATATCACACTTCATCAAGATGTTCTCCTTCAACCGGTCATTCTGCAATTCCACCAAGACGTAACGGAAAATGTCACCTGTGAGTGCAAGCACGTACTCATGAACATCGTCTCTGATGTCGGTGCTGATGCGTTGCAAAGTAACAGGGTCGAGCTTGTGAGAGGAGTCGTGGATATCTTCCCAGATAAGTCCGGTCGACCCAGTGCTTTCAAATTCCTCGTCGCTGGCGATTCTTGCAACATATACTTGCGATACAGATGGATCAATAAGCTCACACTCACGTCCCACGCTGACTGCGGTTAAGACATTGTCACCAGTGCACATGATGGTTCTAATAGATGCTTCCTTCAACTCGTTCAAGGTGGTCTTAGTCGTTGGTTTCAACTTGTTCTCGAAGATAATGAAGCCGCCGAATTCGAGGTTGGACTCAGCGTCCTCCCTGGTGATGCTCAGGTAATCTTCGTTCTTGCCCAACACCTTGTGAGCACATGCAATAACTCTCAAACCACTATGAGTGTATCCGTGGAGTAAATCCTCGTAATCAGCTGGAATTGTGGTGGGATCACAGATATCAAACATCACTTCTGGAGCACCTTTGACGAAGACCTGCTGGGCGTTGTTCTTTTCCACCACGACCGACATTCTTCTGAGAGCGGCAATGAACTCGAACTCCTTGAGAATTTTGTATCCGAACGATTCAGAGCCAGCACTCTCATACACAACTGGCACTGAGCTTCCCTCAAACTCTTCGGTGTAACCCCAATTGGTGAACTCAAACATCTTCATGTCAAGAGGATCTCCAATAAGTTCATTGTCGATAAGACGAAGCGAGTGACAAGAGGCCATACAGCCAAGTAGAAAGTGGCCACTTTGAACATCATATTGTGTCGATTGCTTTCCTCTCTCAACAAGTGTGCCCACATTGTCGATAATTTCCTCGAAAATGATCTCCTTTCTGCCCTCGGCGTTCTTCGTGGGATGAACGCCCAACACGTCCAACCCGTCCTCGGTAAGTGTTCCTGTTTTATCGAAACAAACCACATCAAGCTTTCCACCAATATTGACTCTGGTTGGGGCAGTGCAGTAGATCAGTTTGCTTTTGAGACGGTTGATTGCAAATGTCGTGCCGATTGTCAAGGTAGCAGGAAGGGCAGGAGGCACGACAATGGTGATGATGTCGAGTGCTCTCAAAATCATGATACGTTTCGAAAGACCCAATTGGATGAAATTATACGTGGAGTAGATGAACCCGATACATGCAATCAATGTCATGAAACCAATGTACTTGAATGCATCCTCGTATAATTTGAAGCCAGTTGGTTTAGGGAACAACATAGATCTAACAAGAGAACCTTTGGTAGTGTTGAAGCCGGTTTTCAAGGCCATACCAAGAGCAGGCTCATCGTTCAGGGATTTTGTCTTGAGAAGCTTAGTTCCACTGTAGAGATATGATCTTGCCAAAACCGAGTGGGTGAAGCTTTCCACCAAATATTGTACTGTTTCAGACGATGCAACCGACTTGGTAACCGGCACACTCTCGCCGGTAAGCATGGATTCGTTGACCACACATTCACCGTTGATGAGAAGAGCGTCGCACGGAAGGAAGGTCAAGGAAGGGTCAACCTCGAAGACATCTCCAGGTACTAAATCATTTGAGTCGATTTTATTCCAGAAGCCGTTTCTCCAAACTCTCACTTCACAAGAGAACTGACTGATTTGTTGGAGACGGCTGATGGTTGCTTTTGTTTCAATCAAAGAGTTGATGATCGAAACAAACGAGATGATGAAAATGCAAGAAGCGTAGTAAAAGTATTCATCTGCACACCATAAAATGATGGAGAAGACCTGAAAAACGTAAAAAGGGTGAAGAACTTCATCGAGAAGCAACTGTCCAATAGTTTTCTCTTGGATTTGAATACTGTTATCTCCAAAAATTTCGGTCCTTTGTTCGTAAAGCTGCTGGGAACAACCTTCACGTAAATTCTTGATGTTGAGCCAATGAATGTCGTACCAAGTGGAATTGGTCTTGAAAATATCGTCCACTGGGTTGTAAAAGAACTTAATATAACGGTATTCGAACGAAAGAACGAAAGGTATGACAGGGTTGGCCTCCTTGCTGACTTCGGCAATATCATGTTCCTCTTCATCTCCAGATGACTGATTCACAGTCAAGAAATGTGAGAGACGCTCATTGAGACGCATCTTGGAAACTTCAACGATAGTAAGCTCACCAAACTCATTTTCTATAACACACCAGTCGGCTTTACCAAGAGGACGCTGGTTGCCAAGGAGGTTGATTCTATAGCGAGGGAACCAGCGGAGTAAAAGGAAGCCGATACCAAAGGTGAAGATACAGATGAAGTAGTATATCACTTGCTTCCACCAGCAGTCGACGTAACCCGCGATACCAATGACAATGTCCTCTTCTGCAAGATAGTAACGCTGGTATTTTGCTCTAGGATTGAACTCTTCGAAGTATGCCTGAGTCTCGGCATCCAGGTGCTCCGAAATCAGCTCATCCATAGAACGGCTTCGTCCACTAGAAGCAGAGCTTCTGCGGCGATAACGATCTTCAATGAAGGAGCCATAACTGCTATCGTTATCAGACTCATGATGTGGACGCTGTTCTGGTGATCTAGGTCTTCTCTCACCATCCCCAAAAGCCTGTGAGGCGCCAGCTTGGTCGAAAAAGTGAGTGGACAATGCAGAGCGACGTGATCTAGAAAACAGCGGTCTCTTGGAGCCTGCTTCACTTTCATCATCTTCGGGATATTTATCCACAGAGTACTCCCAATTGGTGTTGTAGTCGATTGGATCATCAGGGTTCTCAAGGGTAGATCCTCCTGGAGCAGACTCAATTTGGTCAGGCGAAAAGAATCTAAAATTGGCGCCTTGAGTGTCTGTAGAGTCTGCTGTAAACACAGAAGACACTGAACGCAAGTCTGTGTCTGTAGACTGCCGCATCTGATCACGACCTGCTAGCAAAGGTGAGGTCTCTCTCAGCACATCTGGAGCCAAAGAAGCACGACGACCTCCAAAGCGATGCGGAAAGTGCATCGACGAAATTGACGATGGAATGTTTTCACTGGTGGCACCAGAGAACATCTCATGGTTGTTCTCCTCTAGCAAGGCTGAGGATTCCGTGGACAGTACACTGCCCTGACGGGACCTCCTTCTTCCAAACGAGGGACGCCTGCGGCTAGAGCTGAACGAGTCCCTTGTCATAAGTAATTTTTGGCTGCACTTTGTGAGTAGATGGAGTTCTGCACTAATAGCAATGGAAACTTTTCACTGATAAGCGAGACAGGCTATAGTACACAGTATCGGACGGCTGGCAGAGAACGCCGAATTAATGTGGGGGAGATTGCAATAAAAAATGAATTTACATATATAAAGTCGAGAGGTGCTGGGGTTCGATATAAATTGGCTTTTGTATGTGTTGTTGGTCGTTTGGAGTTTTCAAGTGTAGAGTTATTGTAAGCAAATAGGTGTGGTAATTCCGCTTATGGTTTTGAAGCTCCCAAATAAACAAAAATCCGAAATCCAGTCCAAAGCCTTGAAAGCTAATACCATGAAAAATTGTTCATCATGTTAAACTGAGATATGTTGATTTAAGCATGATTTGCATTCTCTTGAGACCTTCGTGTATTGACTGCGAAAAGTGGCTCTTCCGTGAAAGTATGCGAAAGTCAAAAACATCAACAACTACAAGAATACAATTCTTGGTTAAGTCGACGACAGATACCTAAGTGAATTGCCTCTACTGATGGACTCCATTATTTCACTGACTTTTTTCCTATGTACTTGGACTAGTCATGGCATGATGAAGAATTAGCTCATATTAGCAATTTCTTTTATTCTCGCCTCCATAATGAAAAATGCCAATGTTGATCTCTCATAATGAATACGAATATACCCTATTTCACTCGATTTAGACGAGTTCACTCCACCTTTAGGTGGTGCTCGTTTGCAGCCTTCAGAGATTATATGCAACACACACTTCTCACTTGAACGCTCGAACACCTTCTTTAAGCAGCACCATGGCCCTCAAGCTTAAATTAAAGGTCAAGCCTTCTAACTCCCCAGAAACGGAGGCTCCTGCTCAAGAGCACCACCGCTCCCCACCTAGGCCATCAAGAAAGGTGAAGCATGAATCCAGCGACAGAGTCTCAAAACCCAAACATAAGAAAGAGAAGCTAAAGAAATTGAAGCTCAGTCTAGGTAAACTGGGTCTGCCAGACAGTGCAACTCCATCATCATCAGTACCACCTCCACAGTCCAGACCTACGATAAAGAAAATCCCAAAAGTGAGAATCAAGCCTACGAGAATCCCTGGTGAAGGCTACGACTCAGAAGCCCCAGATGTCGAGGATGACCCTCTAATAGAGCAAGGTATTGTCGTGCGGTTTCTAGACGACTCCAATCTTGATTTTGTTCACAATGCTGTCGAAACTGGCGATCTTTCAAATGTAAATATCAAGTGGATCACCAGAGACAAGGCCGTCATCAACGTCAATCTGACGTTATACTCCGCGAGACTCGTTGACTTGCCAACACTCACGGAAATTTACAAAACAGTTGACAAAAAGAACATCTTCAAAACAATTGACATCAGTCAAGTTCTCCTAGTATTGCATCCTATCAACCCCAAACAGCTTAATATGGAGCAGGATTTCGAGGTCCCAGAGGCTCACACTTACACACACCCTATTTATGACCTTTCTACCAACAAGGAGATAAGAAACTCTAAGACAGTATACCGTAACGGTTTGGCATATGCATACGAGGATGTGTATCGACGGTTCAAACCACGCAAAGTCAACCATCGTATAATGCAAGATGTCGAGGCTCGAGTTGACGAGCTTGTCAAAAGAGACGCGGAGGCACAGGAGAGTCACTACGAATATGTTGACCCCAAGGCTCAGGCCAGAGTCAGTGCTTCTCACAGCCGTTCTGCAACACCAACACATTCCATGCCATCCACACCTTCTGCACGTGTATTTTCACCTCGTGAAGCTGAGGATTATGAATTCGAACAACAAGAACAGCAAATGGAGGTTGATCTCGAAGCTGACATTGACAACGCTCTTGAACAAGAATTGGCTGAGGCTCTTGACTCTACCTCAAATAACACAGCAGCCACAGTGCTCATGAAGTCTGAGTACAACGAAGAAGAAGCAAGTGATGATGAAGCAACTGCAGGACAGGCTGGTGGCGAAGACGAGGACGAAGATGACGACGAAGAGGAAGAGGAGGAGGAGGAAGAAGAGGAAGAGGAAGAAGATGCTGGAGACGGCACTCTGAAGGAAGACATGAACAAGGTCAAGAAGCTCGAAGAAGAAATTGGTGACCTAGAAAAGGCTGCCGACAAGCAAAAGAAGCTTTTGTCGACCGCTAGTTACAAGATGATGAGAATGAAGTTCCAGTCTGCGTTCAACAACTTGAAGGCGCAGCTTGATCAAAAGAAGCGTGAGTTAGCGAAAATTAAAGAACAACAGCAGAAGCAGCAACCAGCAGAACCTCCACGCCAGCCTGAAGCTGAGGGTGAAGAGGAAGACGAGGAAGATGAGGACGAGGACGACGAAGACGAAGGTGAAGATGACGACACAAAGAGAAGCCAACCACCTCCAGAGTCTAAGGAAGGACTGGAGAGCAGAGCGACCAGCGAAAATGCTCCTCAGGAGGACGACGACCAGGATATGGAGAATGAGGACTACGGTGATCTTCAGGATCTCTTCTAGCACAACCGCTTCAACAACGACCGCAACGCACATGCCTCATATAGATCGCCTAGTCTATCACATAATAATTACGAATCCACCACACCACGTTGTAAAACAATTGCAGCGTAAGTGTCCGGTATCTGACTCTTCTGGTAATCGCTTAATGAGGTGCGCAACCTGCCTCTTTTACACACGAACTATTGGATTATCGCACCCAGCTTATTTTTCCATCTCATCTCAGGGCCGTTTCCCTTGTTTGGCTACGCATACACAATAAATGTCCAGCAATTCCATAAAACTTTTGGCTAGCGATGTTCACCGCGGACTCGCTGAACTCGTTGCCAGAAGGTTGGGTCTCAAACTTTCTCCCAGTGAGTTGAAGAGAGACCTGAGTGGTGAAGTCACTTTCAGCATCGGAGAGAGTGTCAGAGATGAGGACATCTTCATTATCTGTCAAATCGGCTCAGGTGAGGTTAATGATCGTGTTTTGGAGCTTCTTATAATGATCAACGCCTGTAAGACGGCAAGTGCCAGAAGAATCACCGTCATTCTCCCTAATTTCCCTTATGCCAGACAGGACAGAAAGGACAAGTCTAGAGCTCCTATCACTGCTAAGCTCATGGCTGACATGTTGACCACCGCTGGCTGCAATCACGTCATCACCATGGACTTGCACGCTTCCCAGATTCAGGGTTTCTTTGACGTGCCTGTTGATAACTTGTACGCTGAACCTAGTGTGGTGAGATACATCAAGGAGAAGGTCAACTACCCCCAGGCTATTATCATCTCCCCAGATGCTGGAGGAGCCAAGAGAGCTGCTGGTTTGGCTGACACCCTAGACTTGAACTTCGCCTTGATCCACAAGGAGCGTGCGAGAGCCAACGAGGTGTCCAAAATGGTGCTCGTCGGTGACGTGAGTGACAAGATTTGTATCATTGTGGACGATATGGCCGACACTTGTGGTACCTTGGCCAAGGCTGCTGAGGTGCTTCTAGAGAACAAGGCCAAGGAGGTTATTGCCATTGTGACCCACGGCATTCTCTCAGGTAATGCCATCAAGAACATCAACAACTCGAAACTCAAGGCCATTGTTTGCACGAATACAGTGCCTTTTGAGGATAAGGTGTCTCAGTGCCCTAAGCTAGATACCATCGATGTGAGTGCCGTGTTGGCCGAGGCCATCAGAAGACTCCACAACGGTGAGAGCATTTCATACTTGTTCAAGAACGCCCCATTATAGGTCTACGGATCGCTTATTTTAAAATCAATATATTGGCATTACGATGAAGATTGTAGACAAGATTAGGTAGTCCCCTCGGATGAAGCGCGGAATACTAAAATCTGGGGAACGCGATGGCGTATTTTTCGATAGACATTGACTCATTCTATTGAACCTCATCATGACGAAAGGCTCCAGAACTATCAAGGCCTGTCTCTTTGGTATGTTAATTACCTAATCGAAATCATCTTAACTAAAATCTAACAACAGACATGGATGGTACACTTATCAACACGGAGGACATCTACACTGAGGCAGCCACTGAGGCTCTAGCCCTTTATGGCAAAGGCCCTTTGACATGGGATATTAAGATTGATTTGCAAGGTAGGCCTGGTCCCGAAGCTGCTCAAAGAGTTGTTGACTTTTTCGAATTGCCTGTCACGAGAGAGGAGTTTATGAGAAAGCTGTATGAGGTACAAGAGACCAAGTGGGACCGTTCAGCCTTCTTGCCAGGTGCTTTAGAGTTGCTTGAATACTTAAAGAAACATAACGTTCCTATTGGTTTGGCTACCAGTTCAAATACTGCAAACTACGAGAAGAAGACTGCTCACCTTGAGCACGGGTTTAGTCTCTTTGACGGACATATTGTGACTGGTGATGACTCTAGAATTCCCCCTGGCTGTGGTAAACCCAAGCCGGATATCTGGTATGCGTGCTTGAAAAGTATAAATGACGCCAGAGAAAAGGAAGGTTTCGAGGCTATCAAGATCGAGGAGTGTTTGATTTTCGAGGATGGAATTCCAGGTGTTGTCTCTGGTAAGAATGCCAATGGATACGTGATTTGGATTCCACACCCTTGTGCTCTCAAGGAGCTCAACGGCAAAGAAAAGGACATTATTGGTGAGGGTGGAGAGATTCTCGATAGCATCGAGGAATTCGACAAGGCCAAGTTTGGTCTCGATAGGTAAATCGCATCTACTTGTATATGAGTAGAGATACAAGCTTTCCATAGATATAGTGGTATGTAATGTTTCCAGGTTTCAACAGTGTGAGGATGGGCCGTTGTGAGGGATGTATTGGTACACATTGTAAGAACGAGCGGGAAGTTGGTACACGGATAATGATATTTGCCCGGCTTTCACTAACAGTAAAATGAATGCATATTGATTTTCGACAAATAATATTGGTAGGTTCTGCTGTCAAGTCTTCAAGCGAAGTCCGTTATCAGTCCGGCATGGATCCTGATTTCCTACCATTGAGCCCTACAACGTTTCTTGTTATTGACCTATGGTCGGCACAGACTTATATCGTATTCATCTAGATTTTTCCACAAGCAAAGACTCCCATCCATCAACAGACTCGACCACAAAGTTCATCGATTACCGTTACTCGCCTATCACTGTCGTCAGCATAGATCCTCCCATAATGCAAGCTGATGCTTCACCTAACGAGCCTCTCAGAGCCAGGCAACTAGGGGAGGGTGTCATCAAGCTTTACAGAGATTTTGAAGATGACGAAGACCGCCCACCATCGAAATCTGTGGTCTCCAGCACGAGTGATCAGACAATGCTCTCGATCTTAGCCCTTCCCACATACTTCACAGCTACCGACCTTCTAGGGTTTATCGGAGACCATTACATGGAAAACATCACCCATATACGAATCCTAAGAAGTGAAAAGGCCAATCGCTTTTTGGTGCTTTTAAAGTTCAATGACGCCCTAAAAGCTGCAGAGTTCCAGTACCATTTTGATGGTAAGGCATTCAATTCGATGGAGCCCGAGGCGTGTCACGTCGTATACGTCAAATCGGTTGAAAGTACTGAACCCCACGATGTTCCAGCAAAAGACACACTTATTCCCTTTTTGTTGGAGGATCCTTTCACGACACAGCCAGATGAAAACTTCACTCCAATAGAACTCCCCACTTGCCCAGTGTGTCTTGAAAGGCTTGATTTTGAAATTTCCGGCCTCCTCACGATTCCATGCCAACACACATTCCACAGCAATTGTCTATCAAAATGGAGCGATGATACTTGCCCGATATGTCGATACACCAATGGTGTACTGAATCAAAACATCAAACGGACTGTGGGAAGACTACAGCAAATCAATTCTAGAATGCAGATGCAACATGGGGCCGAGGAGGGCTCGAGTAGTAGCGGCTCTGCCGATGTCTGTATGGACTGCCTGGCTACTACCAATTTGTGGGTCTGTTTGGTTTGTGGTAATATTGGTTGCGATAGGTACGCCCCCGAACAGCATTCACTCAAGCACTTTGTCGAGACTGGGCACTGCTTTGCCATGGAGCTTCATACGTCTCGAATTTGGGATTATGCTGGTGATAGATATGTTCACCGTTTAGTCACAACGGAGGAGGACGGCAAGATTGTTGAGCTTCCTGAGAAGGGAGATGATCCAAAACAGACGAAAGATGATGATAACGAGGAATACTCTGAGTTGCTTCTAAGCCAACTCATAAGTCAACGAGAATACTACGAATTGTTGCTTCACGACAGGGGCCAAAATGGGCATCATCGAAATAATTCGGTTGTCTCTGAAACAAGTTCCACAAAACATAAAGAGTTGGAGTCCAAGGTTGACGAACTCAGCGAGCAGCTCAAGAAGCTCTCCACAAATGTGATCCCAGCGTTAAATCTGAAGATCGAAATGAAGACGAAGTCGCTTCGCATTGCGGCCAACGAGCTCGCAGAAGCAAACACGTTAAATGAGGGCCTCTCTGCGAAGGTAGATTTTCTTACGAAAGAAAACCAGGAGCTCAAGCAGTCCAACGAGGATCTCAGTGAACAAGTGAAGGATCTCATGTTCTACTTGGAGGCCCAAGCAAAATTCAAAGATCAACCTGCCGATGTCACTGAAGGTCAGGTGGTAATGAAGCCAAAGAAAGGAAACAAAAAGAAGAGATGAAGGGGAGTTTTGGGAGCAGTTGCAGAATGGCTGCAAATACAGGTAAGTAAGGATGAGTTGCATGGTGTGGATCATCACTCAGGCAGAACAACCCAATCCAGAATAAATTTCTGGCCATGATCAAAAAATAGAAATAGCCGTATTTAAAAATTTCTTGAAGAACAATTTTTTTTCATGTACTGGTCTTCCTCGTGGTGGAATCTTGTCTACGACCTGCATGGACTGCAGTACCCACGATAGTGCGATGAGAAGAGGCATCTCAAAAAATTCGTTCTCTAGACTTTACCTTGCATTATGGACGAACCAACACGTAACAAGTCTGCTTTAAGCAGTTCGGAGGTTGCGTTCCCCAGAGGTGGGGCCTCGGTCTTGACTCCCTTGGAAATGAAGACAATTTCCAACAAGGCCACTGAGGATGTTCTTTTCGAACAGGCCAAAGGCTCCAAAAGAGCTGCCCCAGATGCCATCGAGGCACCCAAAAAGAAGAAGAAGAGCAAAAAGAAGAAGTCCGAGGACGACTCGGCTAATGACAACGAGAAGGAGATCGAAATAGAGCACTTTACTTTCAAAAACTTGCTTCCTGGTGCAGAGATCTTGGGTCAAATCGTCAGAATAGACAAGATGGATCTTACAGTTTCTGTCGGAGACAACTTGTTTGGCCAAGTTCCAATCACACACATAAGTCCAGAGATCTCTGAGATGATTGACAAGTATGAAAACGCCATGGATGATTCGAGTGATGATGAAAGTGACGACGAGAACCAAACGCAAGGTCTCAGTGTCAAGTCTGAGTTGCCCAAGTTAGACAAGATCTTCAACATTGGCCAATGGGTCCGTGCTGTTGTCACCCCAAGCAGCGAGAACAAACGGATCTCACTTTCGCTTGAACCAAAGACGGTTAATGCCTCCATTGAGGAGGACGATTTGACTCCAGGCAATTTCTTGCAGGCCTCTGTCAAGTCGATCGAAGATCATGGTGTCGTTCTTTCCACCGGAGTCGAGAACTTCGTTGGTTTTATGTCTAAGAAGGAGTTGAAGAAGGCCGAGATCCCCCTCTCCTCTCTCAAAGTGGGCCAAGTTCTTTTAGGTTCAATTGTCAGTCTATCATCCAGAACAGTAACCATGAAGCCGGCCTCGAACGAGCCGGTGACGAAGAAGACAGTTGTATCTGTGATCAGTTCCATTGATGCTGTTCACCCCGGTACCGTCGTCAATGCCATCATCACCGAAATCAGTGAAAATGGTGTTGGTGCTAGACTCTTCGGTATGGTCGACGCTTCATTCTCACTCCCGCATGCCCAAGAATATTCTGTGGAGAAGCTCAAGAATCACTTCCCTATTGGTGGAACCGTCAGGGCCAGAATCCTCGGAACTGTGTTTTCTGAAGGTGCCAAAAAGTTCCTTTTGTCAAAGTCGGAAAGACTCATGTCATTGCAACCCGCACTCAACAAGGAGCCATTGGAAGCTTTCCCTATTGGTTTTGTTTTCCAAGAAGGTGTCGAGGTTTCTGGTTCCGACAAGGACTATTTCTACGTCAGCGTGGGCAGCTTCACAGGACAGGTTCACAAATCTAATGTTGACCCAGATTTAGACATAAGAAAGCATTACAACGTTGGATCAAAACACAAAGCTCGTGTGCTAGGGTTCAACGAGATTGACAACGTTTTAATCTTGACGTTCAAACCAAAAGCCATTGAGTCACAGTTTGTCTCTACCGAAGACATCCCAGTTGGTGAACTCGTCTCTGCTGCCGAGGTGGTCAATGTCCTTCCTGATTCTAGAGGTATTGTGGTCAAGGTTTTTGGTGATTTTGAAGCATTTGTTCCACCTACTCACATTTCTGACTCGAAACTCATGTTCCCAGAACGTAAATTCAGAGTTGGCGGTAAGGTCAAAGCCAGAATTCTTGCAGCATCCGGAAAGAAGCTTTTTGCTACCTTTAGAAAGAGTCTTGTCAACATGGAGGATGAGACTATCGTGAAGAGCTACGATGACCTCAGTATAGGTTTTAAGACTACGGGTGTGGTCGAGAAGTTCATTGGTTCTGGCGTCCTTGTATCCTTCTTTGGAAACTTGAAGGCATACTTGCCGAAGAACGAAATTTCCGAGACCTTCGTGGAGAACGCCAAGGATTACCTCAAGGAGGGCCAAGCTGTCAACGTCAGAATACTCAATTTCAACAAAGAGGACAATAAGATCACAGTGACTTTGCGTCAATCGGCAGAGTTAACCAACAATCAGATGAGACACCTTGAAGAGGTCGAAGTTGGTAAAACCATCGCTGATGCAATCGTTGTTGAGAAGACTAAAGAAGCAGTTATCATCGAGTTGGATGAGTCTAACTTGAGAGGTGTTATCTCCACGGATCATTTGTCTGACGGCTCTTATGAGGAGAACAGAAAGATTTACAAGTCTCTTAATGTGGGCGAGAAAATTAACGTTTTGATTCTTGAAAAAGACTTCAGAGCAAGAGCTGTCATAGCTTCCGCAAAACAGTCGTTGCTTAATGCTGCGAAGGTCGGACTTTTCCCAGCCAGCTACGATGAAGTTCATGTTGGTACCGTCATTCCTGGATTCGTTAAATCCGTAACTAACATGGGTATCTTCGTTAGCTTTGGTGCTAGGCTTACAGGCTTGGTTTTGGCCAAGAACGTTTCAACTGATCCCTCAGTCGATCTTTCCAGCAAGTTCCGCAAGAATCAATCTGTTGCATGTAACGTTATCAGAACCGATGACGAGAACAAGAGATTCTACCTCTCCTTTAGCGGCATGGACGAAGAAGGTTACAAGAAACTCAATTTGAAGAACCCTCTCGACAAAACAAAGAAATCCGCATCTGACTACTCCGTTGGATCCACAGCAAAAGGTGTTGTCGCCTCTGTTGAACCTGGTTATGTCAATGTTCAACTCGCTGATAATTTGTTCGGTCGTCTCGAAGCATCTCAGGTGTTCTCCAAGTGGAAGTCCATCAAAAACAAGAAGAACCCACTTGCTGTTTTCAAGGAGGGCGAGGAGGTGGAAGCCAAAATTATCGGATATTACGATCAGGTCTCCAAGAAGTTCTCTCCTGTGACTTCTTTCACCACATCAACAGTGATTGAATTATCGGTTTTGCCCAGCATTCTTGACTCTAAGAGCCCTTATAAGCCAGTCAGCTTCGATGACCTCGAGATCAATACCGAGCACACTGTGTTTGTGGACTCATTCGAGCATGGTGTCGCTAATGTTTCATTGATGCCAGGAACTGTGGGTCAGATTGCACTTTACAACCTTTCGAACGACAACAAGCTCTTCTATAACTTCGAAGAATCATTCCCAGTGGGATGTGCCATCAAGGCGAAGATTGCCCTGTTTGACTATGAGCATCGTGTCATCGAATTCAACGCAAGAGAGGAAACTGTCAAGTCGATTGAGGATCTCAAGGTCGGCAAGCAATACCCCGGCAAGGTCTTCAAAGTGGCTCAGAACTTTGTGTTAGTTGAGCTTGCTAAAGGTGTTGTGGGATACTCATACATCACGGACGCATTAAATGACTACGATCACAAGCTTGAAGAGGTGTACAAGGTCAATACCGCAGCTCTTGCTACTGTTGAAGAGGTTAACACCTCAGAGGGTAAGATTTTCGTGAGCTTAAGAAACGAAAAGGTTGCTAAAGACAAGCCTGTCAACTCCCTTGAGGAGATCAAGAGAGGAGATCTCGTGAAGGGCTTCATCAAGTCTATCAGCAAGAACGGTCTTTATGTTTCTCTTGGCAGAGAGCTTTTCGCTTTGGTCAGAGTGGCTGACATCTCCGATGCATACTTGTCAGACTGGAAGAAATTCTTCAAACCCCATCAGTGTGTTTCGGGTAAGATCTCTCAATGCAAATCTGAAGGTCGTATTCTCATGACATTGAAGGAGAGTGAAGTGAATGGTGACTTGTCGAGTTTCAAAACCTTCGACGAATTGGAAGTTGGCGAGAACTACGATGGATCTGTCAAGAAGGTTGCTGACTTCGGTGTGTTCGTTAAGTTGGATGGTACCTCCAATGTTAGCGGATTGTGTCACCGTTCTGAAATCGCTGATACCCCTGTTGAAAATGTTGTTGCTCTTTTCGGAGAAGGTGACCGTGTCAAGGTGAAGATTCTCAAGATTGATAACGACAAGAAACAGCTTTCTCTTGGTATGAAGGCCTCTTACTTTACTAACGATGTCGAGGATGAGGATATGAATGAAGTTGAAGAATCAGAAGATGAAGTTATGGGTGATGCTTTCAACGACGACGAAGATGAGGACGACGAGGACGAGTCTTATGAATCCGAGAAAGAAGAGGGCTCAACATCTACAGCTCCTTCTACTGCGGGCGGATTGTCAACCAACGGTTTCGACTGGACTGCGTCTATCTTGGACCAGGCCGAGGACGAAGAAAGCTCCTCTGATGAAGAAGAAGACTTTACCGAAAGCAACAAGAGGAGAAGAAAGAAGGGTAAGAACCAGGTGAAGGACAGAACCGCCGAAATGAACGCTAGAGCACCAGAGTCTGTCTCTGACTTCGAGCGTATGCTTATCGGTAACCCTGATTCTTCTGTTCTCTGGATGAACTACATGTCCTTCCAGTTGCAGCTAGGTGAGATTGAGAAGTCCCGTGAGATTGCTGAGCGAGCTCTTAAGACCATCAACTACCGTGAGGAGCAGGAGAAGATGAACATCTGGATTGCCATTCTTAACTTGGAAAACAGTTTCGGCAGTGACGAGTCTCTTGACGAGGCTTTCAAGAGAGCTACACAGTACATGGACTCTTTGACCATGCATCAAAAGCTTATTGGCATCTATGTCTTGTCTGAGAAATTTGACAAGGCCGATGACCTTTTCAAGACGATGGTCAAGAAATTCGGTAAGGAGACCAGTGTCTGGGTTCAGTACGGCTCATTCCTCATGGACCAGAATGATAGCGAACGTGCCCACGAAACGTTAGCTCGTGCATTGCAGGCTTTGCCCAAGAAGGATCACATCGAAGTTGTCAGAAAGTTTGCACAGCTTGAATTCACTAAGGGTGACGCCGAGCAGGGTAGATCCTTGTTTGAAGGCTTGGTCACTGACGCTCCAAAGAGAATTGACTTGTGGAACGTTTACATCGACCAGGAAATCAAGAGCGAGAACAGAGACCATGTTGAGGACTTGTTCGAAAGAGTCACACATGTCAAGCTTTCACGTAAACAAGCCAAATTCTTCTTCGCCAAGTGGCTTAAATACGAGGAGGATAACGGCAATGAGCAGTCAGTCGCTCGTGTCAAGGCGCTTGCTGTTGAATATGTCCAGGCACATGCTAAGGAGGACGAGGAGTAGAGGGAATACATTCTTATTGTATATAATCAAAATTGCATATTAGGTTTCGTTATTCGTTACGTAGTCATGGGAACAACTCTTTGACAAGCTGATCTAGAAGCTGAAATATGAGCAGTTTGTTGATGAAATCGTTTTGGAATAGCTCGAACAACACTCTGGAGCGAACCTTGGTGTTTCCGTTACCGAAGACTTTTCCACACGTCTCCTCCATGTAAACCTCAAATATAGCTCTTGCTTCACTCCGAGTCTTCTCCTGAAGGGCCTCGCTTCGGACGATTGGAGGGTCTTTGAAGCGCCCGTTTGGAAACACAGTGTCCTTCAAGTTACCAATGACATTGAGAATCATAGCTTCGTCATTCAAGATGTTTCGCATTGAAGAGCGTATCTTCTTTTCAATGGCAGATCCGAGCACCTGCTGCAAAAGAATAAGGAGTGCTCTGCCTCTTATCCAACTTTTGGAGGACCCCAAATCGAAAACATCGATCAACAAGTCTGAAATTGGCTTTACAAAAGGCACCTTGCCAGAAGTGTACTTCTGGGACTCATCAAACTGCTTCAACTCACTTTGCATCTCCTTTATGCTTTCCATGAATTCAGTGGTGGTACTCATCTCCACCTCGGGGTATTTTGAATTATCATGATCCGAAAAACTTAAGGAAAGAGAACCAAGAATATCGTCTAGATTCTTCTTCGGCTTCTTAAGAGAGCTGAACAGGAAGTTTTCAGATGATAGAAATGACCTCAAAATCGGGTCGGAACATACCTCGGGTATAGTGAGGAGTTGCTGCAAGTACTGCTCGAGGCCCCTTTTTCTTAACTCTAGAAGCTGCTTCTTTTGAAAGTTGAGGACAGCCTTCTTTGGGAACTTGATATTGGAGACTTTAGATGATTTCTTTTTGAGATACTCGTTGAGTTGGTAGAACTGACTAAACCTTCTGGCCACCACCCAACCTGCTGTGACTTCGTTTGGATCATCGTTGGAAAACTTTTGCACCTCAACAATATAGAGCACGTAATCAGAACCATTCTTCGTTTCAGTCATATAGGACGAGATCTGTATCCTGGACTTCCCGAACAAACTGTTTTCATTTTCTTGGATAATCCAATGCTGTCGTTGGAGCTCTTTTGAGGCGATCTCCCTCTCCAAACCCTGCTTTGAGCGCTTGAGAATCGTTATTTCGGAAACATTGTTCGTTAACTCTGCCTTCTTAAGTAAAGGAAGTAAAATTTCGTTTTGTTCACGAAGGTTCTTAATATCCTGGGAGATCGTTGTTAATTTCTCCGCCAAGCTAAGATCGCCAGGCGCTGCTCTCAAGATCTCAGAACCACCTAATTTGGATTCTTCAGAATCAGAATTAATAAAGCTATCTGAAAGCTCAGATTCAGATTCCAGTTTGTCTAGCGACTCAAATATACCTGACTGGTTCATAGCAGGGGCAGCGGGCAAGCGATCTTTCAATGTTGGCGAGTTTGATCTGCTCGAGCTTGACATAGGAGAGGCCAAATTTTTGAGTGTCAAGGTACTTTCGTTTCTGGATATTTCCGAACTGCCTGGCGTTTGTGCCTTCGTGTTGATGATTTGCTCAAGTGACTTTTCGACAGCATCAATAACAGCAGGGCTAATAGATGCCTCTGTTACATCCCCCTCTAACTGTGAATTTTCAGTTGTCAAGATTGATTGGTCAGCCAGAGCATACGTATCCACCAGATAAGGTGCTGCTTCGTTTTCAACATTTTGAAGGAACGACGGATAAAGAACGGAGATTAATTCAGCGTTCAGTTTCAGCCAGATGGAGATCAACTCTGATTTTGCAGAAGCGATTGTGGTCTCATCTTCTATGCCACGGTATACTGAGCGTATGGCGGGGATCAGCGATTCAAGTGTTTCACTGTGAATTAGGTGGTTATCGAAGACAGATCTAATATTATCAGAATTAGCAAACTCTAGAGAGTCTGGGCTCTCAAGATCCAAAGTGCATAATGGTGACCTCAATTCGTTGATTGCTTCAAATACACTCAAGACATGTAGTTTTTCGTTCTGCTCAAGGTACCGAACGAACAGAGAGCGCACGTCGTTGTTGCTAAGAGCCTCATCAAGGGAAAGCTTAGGCTTTGCTAGCTTATTGGCAATTTGCTGGACAAGATCAAGCATAGATTGATACTCTTGGCTATGCGTATCACTGTGCTGAGAAATGGAATGAGTCAAGCGATCTTTAAGCTCCACAAGATCAGCTTCTGTGGCCTTGTCAATGAAAGCCAAACAGTGTTGGTATCTTGCCTCCGTGAACTTGCCAGAAACACTTGGGAGTGGAGACGCGGTATCTTGCTGTTCGTCAGTTTGACGGGTATGCTGTTCCAACGCAGCACGAAGGCGTTTGACTTGGCTGCGACGCTGAAGGCTGTCTCCCATGAATTTTACAATCATTTGATTAACAAAGTCACCCTCAGCTAACATCTCCACCACGTTAAATAGAACAGTGGACGCAAGGATTTCTCGAAGGATCAGTGAAACCACCGAGCTTTGCCTCTCCCCTTCATTGAGGACCAGAGGTAGCAATCTTGCAGTAATTTTTCTCAAGTATGCTTTCTCCTGCTCAAAATTCAGTTTGTTCGTAGAAAGTGACACTCCCTCATGAAGGGTCTTTCCAGAAGATCGCACAGCTTTCAACTTGTTCTCGAGTTGATAATTAAAAAGCAAAGGCACCGACTCCGTGGAATAGTCTTTAAAATGAAGATTTATCATCGGGAGTATCTTAATGAATACCAAATCGGCAATGTCAGTCTTAGCGAGGTGGGACTTGAGTGCCTCGATGATGTGCCATAGCTCATTGCGAAGTGACTCTTGAAAACCTTCATGGTCAGATATGTTCTTGTACCAAGAGTCGATGAAGACGGCCACCACAAGCTCGAGAAGTTCAGCGATGGCTCTATCCACTGGCTTGGATGCACCTTTGTAGCTTGAAGTTGATACCTCAAGTCGTTGTAGCTCTTGCTGCCATTCTTTTCGTTTGAGAAACTTGAAGCTCAGATGTCTGGTATCTCCAAAATGGAATTTCTGACTGTTCTTTGGTTTCAATTGGCATAAAACCCGGTATGTCAAATACCCGATCAGCACCCCGGCTAATACAATCTCAATAAGGATTCTCCATAGCTGAACATGCCGTAGTAGGATAAGGAATATGCTAAGCGGCACGATCCACGTCCAGCTTATACCAACACCACCTACTTCGAAGGCAGCCATAGATTCTGTGTTTATCAGTCAACTTTGTGTTATCGTGAACGCGTAGTACAGTAGTGTGAGCGTTATCGTATCAAGGCGCACTTCCATGCACCAGGCAGTGACGGCTTTAGTTTATTAGTCTATACCACATCCTCGCATTTATTTATCCTTCTTTCTCTTCTTTGTCTTCTCCTTCTCGTCGCTCTTGTCGCTGGATCTCTTTTTAGACTTCAGCTCCAGCTTTGACTTCTTATCCAGTTCTTTTTTGGCTTTCGATGATGACTTTTCCTTCTTATGCTTCTTTTCTTCGGAGCTTTCTTTCACTTCCTTCTCGTCTCTCTTCTCTTTCTTGTCCTTCTTGTGTTTCTTCTCCTTTTTGCTATCCTTCAGCTTCTTCTTGTCAGCGTCCGTCTTCTCATCCTTAGACTTTGTGCTTTTGCTTTTGTCCTTGTGTGCCTTGGCCTCCTTCTTGGCCTTCTTCATGATGATTTCTGTCTGTTCAATAGCCTTTCCACTATCGATTTTGCTGCTCTTGAGATGTGCATTATCGGTTTTACCCACCGTTCCTGCCAATCCTTCTCCCTTCACAAACATCTTGTATAAAGGCGACATCGATCTTCGGAGGTGATTTTCAGTTTCCATGGCATTCGTCTCGAAGCTTACTCCCTTGGAGCTGTTGTTGACATCAAGGGTCTTGAGCTGACCGTCAAAAAGTCTCTCCCACCATACATCTGCATCGTTTCCATCTGATCCAAGGCCCTTCTTGTCTTTCTTGTGCTTCACCAAAATGGGTTTCTTGATTCCGCCATTTTTAAGCGCATGGCCGTCTTGCCAGCCATAGCTTTTTAAATATAGTCGGGCGTCCATGTGTGTCGTTGTGGAGGAATATGGAGATGGAAATGAGATGTACCTCATCTCATTTCGCACCCAGCATCGATATAGACCCATCGCGCATAGTATTGTTGATACTACCAATTCAACCTGCTGCAATGGTATATTCCCCAGAATTAAGCAATGCAATTCTGCATTTCGATGCCAATGTCAGTCAGTCATCACTATACTATGGCGAATATCTCGCCCTAGAGGAGATTGCCAAACGTGAAAACCAGTTTCCATCGATACCCATATTAAAGAGAAAGCTAGCAGTGGCCCAATTATCTCCTGAAGAGTTGGCGTTCTGGAGAAGATCGGCCGACCTGGAAGAAAGTCTATTCCTTCTCAGATTCTACAAAAATGAGTTTCCTACAACACAGACATGGCTAGATTACCTCAATGCGATTGAACCCACAGAACCGGAGCTTCTTCGAGCATTCGCTGATTGCGGAACGGACTATAAAAGTGGCTATAATGTTTTCATCAAACTTCGAGAACTATATTCCTCGGAAGGAAATACCGAAAAGTTGCAAAAATTGTACGAACGGATGCTATCTATACCCCACGCTCAAATCGAGGAGACTTACCAGGACTTCTCCCAATTTATATCTGCAACGTTTCCTGACTCTTATCTGAGTCTAATGAAGAATGCCAGTCTGGCCAAGAAAGCGTGTGAGGTGACAATACCTTACTATATAAAGCTTGAGCAGAACATTGCTGATGACCCATTGAACCCACAGCATTGGATCACATACATCGAGTCATGCGCCAAACATATGTTGAAAAACGCTTCATTCGTATCAATTGAGGAAATATTCTTCAGATCCCTCATAGAAGCTTCGAAGGTATGTGATGATTCGTGGCTACCTGTTTGGAAGTCTTTTCTCAGTATCGTGGAGCAGTATGGAGAGTCACGTCTTCCACACTTCACTAAATTGTTCATTAAGTGCTTTCCAGAGCTCCCAGAGGGATCCATTGCATTGAACAAATTGGATCTTGAAGAGGACGAGTTCAACCGATTGAGGTCGGAGCTTCTTCGTTTGGTGGACCTCTTCAAAACTGACAATAACTGGAAGCAACTCGCGACTAATTTGCTTCTCGGAGATTTCAAGCAATGTGCCAAGGTGCTGGAAACCTGGGCATCAATTTTTCTCGAGGACATCAACACCATCGCGTCCACAGCTTTCTCCAGGGAGGACGGCTTCGAAGTATTGCAGTTAGCAATTACATTGGCAAGGAGATGTTCGACTGGCGAGGATGCTTTCTTCGATTTATTCGTCGACTTGACCACTGCATCTTTTGATAAATGGGCCCATTCTGCAAAAGTTTGGGTATTCTGCTTTCAGCTTCTCGCATTGTATGGCCCGCCAAAATATGGCAAGCGTATGCTCAAACTACTTCCAGAGGATTTGCCAGATCTCGATGACCCCAAGCTAGCCCTTGATGCTGCTATCGCTCATCAAGCTATGCATGGTCTGGCAGAGGAGATCCAGCTGCTTTTGGACTTACTCGAAAAGACCAACCCACGTCTTGTACATACCCCGCCAAAGATGGATATAAAGAGAACCAACGATGAAGAGCTTGAGGGGCCAGGGCAAAAGAAAGTCAGACTGGAGAGCAAGGCAGAGGAGGCAAATGAAGACGCTTCACGAAACCGTGAAATGTTTAGGGTGAAGGTGGAGAATCTACCACTCTCCGCTGATCAGGGCGAAGTTGCAGAATTCTTCCAAGGCTACTGTGATCCACTCACCATTGACGTATTCTCAACAGTTCAGGGGAACTTTGCATTGGTTGAGCTCAACTCAGAGGAGGAGGTCATGAAAGCTTTGGTCAGGGACCAGAAAGCTATTGGAGACTCTATCGTGACGGTGAAGCGTATTTTTGGAAACACCTTGTGGCTTACCAACTATCCATCTCACTGGGGATCTTCAGATGTCGAAAGCTTCTTAAAAGCTCAAGAGTTGTTGGTTCTCAGTGTAAGGTTTCCTTCTCAAAGCGACAAACGTGAGAAAAGGTTCTGTTACATCGATTTCCCGGATACAACTGCTACCCAGCTGGCACAGGCTCAGCTCGATCAGTTGTCGGTGGAAGGTCATCTGTTGAAGGCTGATATTTCGAACCCCTCTCTCAAACACAAGCGAAGTGGACCTAATGTGGCTTACCAAGTGTACGTTCATAACATCAACTTTGAGGTGACTACTGAGGAGACTTTGCGCCAATTCTTTAGTGAAATTGGAAGGGTTGAAGATGTGAAGGTCCCCCTCAACGAGACCAATAAAGCAAAAGGTTTTAAGAACAACGGGTATGCGTTTGTTACGTTCTCCGATGTCAAGGACGTCAAGAAAGCCCTTGATGCAAACGAGACGGTTTTGGATGGCCGGACCATTCATGTCTCGAAAGGAAAATCAAAACAGGCAATGCAAAGCTCTCCACTGCAGTTCAACGTCAAGAAAACCATTGCCTTATTCAACGTGAACAGCATTAGCACCAAAGCTCACCTTGAGGAGTTTTTGCAGAACCGTGTGGGTTCCACCACCAAGGTGTTTTTGAAGCCTAGTAAGCGTGCAGCACTTGTCGAATTTGAAAAAGAGTCTGATGCTGGGAAAGCCAGTTTATCGCTAGAGGGAACCCTCTTTGACGAAGAAGTGCTTCATGTGGGCTCTAAAGACGACTTCTTCAAGCAAGAAAACGACCAAAAACCAGCAAAGAAGACTACCATGGCTCCTCCGATGCTTATGAGAAGAAAAAGACGGTAATCCACTTCCTTTGTATCTTTACTATAAAATAGATGAATGTGGAGTTTGCAGCCAGTGCGGCTTCCTAAGTTTACTCATACACAACTTTTTCTGACATTTTTTCACTGCGATATTAAGGTCCCAAAAGATTTCATACCTCACTACGCAAAATGAGTGCTACTATCAAACTCGAGAAGACCGATAGGAGGGACACACTTGTGGAGATCGAGAAGAAGTACCAGAAGTACTGGGCTGACAACAAGTTCTTCGAAGTCGATGCCCCCACTATCGAGGAAGATCCAGAGGATGATGCCGATAAGTTGAGAGAAAAGTACCCCAAGTACTTCTCCACCATGGCTTACCCATACATGAACGGTGTCTTGCACGCTGGTCACAGTTTCACTTTGTCTAAGGTGGAGTTTGCCACTGGTTTCGAGAGAATGGAAGGTAAGAGGGCTCTCTTCCCATTGGGTTTCCACTGTACCGGTATGCCAATTAAGGCTGCTGCTGACAAGATCAAGAGAGAGGTTGAGCAGTTCGGTGCCGACTTCTCTGGTGCTCCAGCTGAAGACGAAGATGAGGAGCCAGTTCCTGTCAAGGAAGCTGCTAAGAGCGAGGACCCCACCAAGTTCAAGGCTAAGAAGTCCAAGGCTGTTGCCAAGCAGGGCAGAGGCAAGTACCAGTTTGAGATTATGGTGCAATTGGGTCTTTCCAAGGAGGAGGTTGCCGCTTTTGCCGACCCTCAACATTGGCTTCATTTCTTCCCTGCTCTTGTTGAGAGAGACGTGAACAACTTTGGTGGTAGAGTCGACTGGAGAAGATCTTTTGTCACCACTCCAGCTAACGCCTACTACGATGCTTTTGTCCGCTGGCAAATCAACCGTTTGAAGGACTGCGGCAAGATCAAGTTCGGTGAGAGATACACCATCTACTCCGAGAAGGACGGTCAGGCTTGTTTGGACCACGACAGATCCAGCGGTGAGGGAGTCAACCCACAAGAGTACGTTGGTATCAAGATCCCAGTGGATGAGTTCCAGCCAGAAGCCCAGAAGGTGTTTGAGGAGAATAACTTTGATCTCTCCAAGAACAAGGTCTTCTTGGTCGCTGCCACCTTGAGACCCGAGACCATGTACGGTCAGAGTTGTTGTTTTGTCTCTCCAAAGATCAACTACGGTGTGTTCAAGGCCGCCGAGGGTGTGTACTATATCACCACCGAAAGAGCTTTCAAGAACATGTCTTTCCAGAAATTGACCCCAACTAGAGGTGACTACACTGCCGCTTTGCACATAAACGGTTCTGCTCTTGTTGGATCCAAGATTTCCCCACCTTTGGCTCAGCTCAAGAACCTCCGTGTGCTCCCTATGGAGACCATCTTGCCTAACAAGGGTACTGGTGTTGTGACCTGTGTTCCTTCTGACTCCCCAGATGACTACATCACCGTCAAGGACTTGTCCAACAAGGCTGACTTCTACAAGATTGAGAAAGAGTGGGTCAACACCGAGATTGTTCCAATCTTGAAGACTGAGAAGTTCGGTGACAAGTCTGCCGAGTTCTTGTGTAAGGAGTTGAAGATTCAGTCTCCCAAGGATACCGTGCAGTTGGCCAAGGCTAAGGAGCAGGCCTACAAGGAAGGTTTCTACAGCGGTGTCATGGTCATTGGTAAGTACTCTGGCGAGAAGGTCGAGGATGCTAAGCCTAAGGTTAAGGCTGACTTGATCGCTTCCGGTGAGGCTTTCGTTTACAACGAGCCTGAGGGTCAGGTCGTCTCCAGATCTGGTGATGAGTGCTGTGTCTCCTTGGAGGACCAGTGGTACATTGATTACGGTGAAGAGTCCTGGAAGAACCAGGCTTTGGAGTGTTTGGAGCACATGGAGACCTTCTCCAAGGAGACCAGACACGGCTTCGAGGGTGTCTTGGACTGGTTGAAGAACTGGGCTCTTACCAGAACTTACGGTTTGGGTACCAAGTGTCCATGGGATGACTCTCAGTTGATCGAGTCCTTGTCTGACTCCACGATATACATGGCTTACTACACCATCGCTCGTTTCTTGCACTCGGACTACTACGGCTCTAAGCCTGGTAAGTTCACCATCAAGCCCGAACAGATGACTGACGAGGTGTTTGACTACATCTTCACCAGACGTGAGGACATCAAGTCTGACATTCCAAAGGAGCAGTTGCAGGCCTTGAGAAGAGAGTTTGAGTACTTCTACCCATTGGATGCCAGAATCAGTGGTAAGGATTTGATTCCAAACCACTTGACTTTCTTCATCTACTGCCACACTGCCCTCTTCCCCAAGAAGTTCTGGCCAAGAGGTGTTAGAGCCAACGGTCACTTGATGTTGAACAACGCCAAGATGTCCAAGTCTACTGGTAACTTCTTGACCTTGCTGCAGATTGTCGAGAAGTTTGGTGCTGACGCCTCCAGAATTGCCTTGGCTGACGCTGGTGACACTGTTGAGGATGCCAACTTCGATGAGGCCAACGCCAATGCTGCTATTTTGCGTTTGACCACCTTGAAGGAATGGTGTGAGGAGATCAAGGCTACTCAGGACACCTTGAGAACCGGTCCTAAGGACTCCTTCTTCGACAAGGCGTTCGACAATGAAATGAACCACTTGGTGGAACAGGCTTACGAGCAGTACCTGGCCACCAACTACAAGGCTGCCCTTAAATACGGTTTGTTCGACTTCCAGACCTCCAGAGACTACTACAGAGACTCTGTGTCTGGTGCTGGTATGCACAAGGACCTTGTGTTCAAGTACATCGAGAACCAGGCCTTGTTGCTTGCCCCAGTGGCCCCCCACTTTGCCGAGTTCTTGTACAAGGACATCTTGGGTAAGGACGGTTCTGTCCAGAACGCTAGATTCCCTAGAGCCTCTGAGCCAGTTTCTCAGGGCTTGTTGGACTCTCTTGAGTATGTGAAGGAGTTGGCCAGAGCTGTTCGTGAGGCTGAATCCACTGTGTTGAAGTCCAAGAAGGGTAAGGCCGAGGTTGACGCTTCTAAGCCTGCCAACTTGACATTGCTCGTTTCCACGTCTTTCCCCGACTGGCAGGAGCAGTACATTGACTTTGTCAGACAGTTGTTCGAGAGCAACTCTTTGAACGACAACAAGTTGATCAAGGAGAAGGTTGGAAAGGACATGAAGCGTGCCATGCCATTCATCCAGTTCTTGAAGCAGAGATTGGTGAAGGAGGACCCCAAGACGGTGTTCAACCGTGAGTTGACTTTCAACGAGGGCGAGTTGGTGAAGCAGGTTTTGAGCAACATCCAGAAGTCGACTACGACGCTCAAGATTGAGAACTTGAAGGTGGTTACTTTCCCTCACGGCGAGAAGAAGGGTACGGATATCACCACTGGTGAGGAAGTGGAGATCACAGCTACGGGCAAGGTTGTGGATGCTGCTGTTCCTGGCCAACCAGGCATTTTGATAAAAAACGTCGAGTAGGCGCTGTATACATAGACAATGGTAAGAACAACTTGAGTGAAGATTTCCTTTATTTTCAGTGCATCTGAATAAAGGTCGCAGGTATTCCGGTAGGTACGGTGCGGGAGCAACCCGATAAGACATGCAAAACAGAAGCACAGCTGCAAAATCACACCCTGGCGCCGGCTGAGATCCGAGGTTGCAAAAAAAAACACAGAAAACGTCCAAGTGGATTTTAAACTTTTGGAATTTTTAGATTCTTTGCAAAACGGAATCTCCAAAATCCCCTAGTCTATGTCCGCTAAAGACACACCCCACAGTCTCCTCCCAAAATGCCTTGCACCTGCGAAACAAACGACGCCCAACGTCCCCCACCCGTGCACACCACTGCACATCATTTTTCTCAATCAGGCTCATTTGCAACAAACAAACCACATTCACCCACACGGGTTTTGCCCTAAACACCACCATTTCCATCTCCGTTTTCCATCTATACCCGTCTTTTCCATCATAGACACCTTCCCACGCTGCTTCCTGTCCTTGCTGTCTCATGTCTGGCCCTCCTAGATACCCACTCTTGGGGTGCAAGACAACCTACGACACGAAACTTCAAGACCCTTCGGCCAAGCTCTATGACGGGTTGGCGGAGCCTTGCCCGTTTTCCTTGAGTCTGGCGCCCCTAGAAACCCAGCTGCGGAAACGTTTTCGTGCCCACCAGAACCAGGATACCAAGGAGGACGCTTACCCTGCTTACGCTGCCCCGTGCTCTGCTGAAAGCGGCGACGATATGATCATTTCCGATACCGACACCGTTCCTGACGTGACGCATCCACCAAAGAGACGCCTCACGCTGGCCAACCAGCCCGATACAAGACAGGTGCCCGTTTCCGCAGACTCGGTGATGTCCATCTCCAGCACCCATAGCGTGGCTGCCTCTGCTATCCGAAGTGCTTCCAATACGTTTATCAAGCCCGACAGCCAGATTCACCCATGTACGCCTAACGGGATAGAGTCCATGACAAACTCGCCCATCCTGGACATGGAGGACCAGAACCCCCAGCAGCTAGTACTTCCGCTGCCCCTGGCTTCCCCGGTCCAGAGCGCTACCGACAAGCGGTCCGTGCATGAGTTCTGGGAGCGCCATTTGCTGAAACCTCCAGCCACCCAGGGCGACTTGGCGGAGCTCATGGTGAACCTTTCAAACTTCTCGCTGGCGCCGTGCCGAAACCACATCATCTTCCAGCTCTTACAACAAGTTGATCGTTCGCTGCTTTCAACGTTCTGTGGCATAATCCAGGACTCTTTGAGACGTGACTTGTTGTCAAGCTTGCCGTTGGAGGTTGCCTTATCGATCTTGTCCCACTTGGACTACAAGTCTGTTTTGGCCGTCTCTAGAGTTTGCCGGTCTTGGAATCGCTTGGTTAACAACAACACATTGTGGACCGCTATGCTTCATAGAGACAAGCTCTTGAGAGACCCAGCTCTACTAGATAAAGAGCTCTCGAACCCCGACAGGCTCATAGCAGGCTGGGCCACTCCTAGTCCATACCTCAGCGGTATCAACTTGGCCCAAACACTTTACAAGAAACGCTTCATCATTTTGCAGCGCTGGATGAACCCCTCGTATGAACCAAAACGCATAAGCGTGGCAGGCCACGGCTCGAGTATTGTCACATGTCTACAACACGACGAAGAAAAGATCATCACCGGCTTCGAAGGGAAGCTGATGAACGTCTACGATACTCAAACTGGTGAACTTCTTCGTGTTCTTAAAGGTCACGATGGCGGAGTTTGGGCCCTCAAATACTTCTCCAATACCTTGGTGAGTGGCTCTACTGACCGTGACGTGCGTGTTTGGAACATCCGTACTGGTAAATGTACCCATATGTTCAGAGGTCATACTTCGACTGTGAGATGTCTAGATATCTTGCACCCCGTGCAGATCGGTGTCGATGATAACGGTGAGCCTATCATGTTCCCCAAAGAACCGCTCTTGGTTACTGGCTCAAGAGACCACAACTTGCATGTCTGGAAGCTCCCCTTGGATAATGAGGGCGAGCATGCAGATGAAATCACCGAGACAAAGACCTTCGATAGTAAAGATCCCGACAACCCTTACCTTGTTGCCGTTTTGGTCGGTCACACCCAGTCCGTTCGTTCCGTATCCGGCTACGGCAATATCATCATTTCTGGCTCATATGATACAACTGTCAGAGTTTGGGACTTGAAAGAAGGCGGAAGATGCAAGCATGTATTGGAAGGCCACAACGACAGAATCTACTCGACCTCCTTAAACTACAAGACACGTCGTTGCTACTCGGGATCTATGGACCTGTCCATCAATGTCTGGGACTTCGAGGAAGGAAAGCTTCTTTTCTCTTTGGAAGGGCACAATTCTCTCGTTGGATTATTAGAACTTTCTGAGGATTACTTGGTTTCTGCCGCAGCTGATTCTACTTTGCGTGTTTGGAACCCTAATACCGGAGAGAATTACAGCAAGTTGAAGGGACACAATAGCGCAATTACCTGCTTTCAGCATGACAGTCTACGGATTGTGAGTGGAAGTGAACGCATGCTCAAGCTTTGGGATGTCAAGACAGGTGAGTTCGTTCGTGATTTACTTTCTGACATCACCAAGGGTATCTGGCAAGTGCGCTTTGATCCTGATAGATGTGTGGCTGCTGTGCAAAAACAAGGATCGGACAACGAGGAAACGTACATCGAAGTTCTCGACTTCAGCGCTCCACTCAACAAGTAAACCTCGTGATATACTTGATATCCTACATCAGCATCGTCCTCTAGATTCATTAAGAGTACATACAACATAATCGGCACTGTGTGCTTACATTAAATTAGTCAGCAAAGTAGGGTTTCCGTAGTTTCCGGAATCTTTCTAATTCCTCCTGGAGGTCAAAACTAGCCCGTCTTTTGGAATGCTTTGTACAAGCATCAATATCCATATCCAAAGACTCGTCTCTGTCTTTGAGGTACTCCCCATTCGGACCAATATACTCCTCCAGCGAAGCCACCATATTCATAAAGTAGTCAAAGTAAGGCTGGCCAGCCATATCACTTACTTGACAACACCACTGTTTATGACCTAGGTATGGATCAATATCCTGTTCATCCTCTTCAGTAACTTCATCCATGTACTCATTGGAAAACTTGGATGAGGCATGAGGAATAGCAGCGGTATATTCACAAGGAGTCAAAACCTTGGGATGCTCTTGATTGCCTGAACCGCTGTCGTCCGAACCTGCGGACTTTTGTAAAAATATCCTTTGATTGCAGCTTTGGCATATCATGAGCAAGACAGTCTGACTATTGAATTCTTGAGTGTACACATCCCAGCCCATAGCACTTATACAGTAAAGCCAAGCGGGACAGCTTTTTGACAAGATCGTTCCAAAGTTCTCCTTGTCGTTGTTGAAGTATCGGCTCAAGAGCCACAGATTCGATGCACGGCAGAAGTCGGCGTAAGTACTTATCAGCTTTGGCTTAGGACAAAGCAGGGACAAGAAACCAGCATGTTCCTGAATTATCATAAGGTTGTCAAACAAGCTCTTCAACGTCTTGGTGTGAAGCTTAATCAAAGACTCATTGGTGGACGCAAGATAGGGAGTAAGATAATACACTGTGTTGATCGGAGTCAGAACTTTGGTCCACGGGCAAGAGGATTGATGGCCCAAGGCCTGGACTTGCTGTGCATACTGCGCTTTTAGATTCAAGTTGACTGCCTGAATATCCTCGAGGTCAAAATGGAAAGGGGCATACTCGGGCTGTTCTTCTTCGGCATTAAAGCGAAGAATAAGCTCATTTCCACACTTTGAGCACGATAAATGATTCTTGACGTTGTTATTTCTGGCTATGGATTGGCAAGTCCAGCCGTTTACGGCACATAGAAGCTCGTTTAGCTGAACACCAGTGTTCTTTCCCGAAGGAATATGCCAGTTCAACGCGTTGAAGGATCTGAGTCTTTGTAAAAGCTGTTCTCGGTTGAACGGTTCGAACCCCGAGAGCCTTGAGTTCATGTGATCGATATTTTCCTCAGTGGCAGACAAGGCCAACTTGGACTTGTGATAAGCATAGTGGTGTTTTGTCTTCACCAGACGAAAAAACTGGATATCTGGGTGAGTCTCATACTTGGTCGGCGTCACAGGTGCCGACTGGAGCTTGAGTGTGTAGTCGGGTTCATGTGCCGACGGCGAGTCGAATATTTTCATATACTGCTTGAGAACACGCGGCGTGCCCTCGGCCACCTCGGCAAGATACATCTATATATTTTGAACAAGATGGGGAAGGGTCTAGGGCAGACTGTGGAGCATAGGTTTGAAAAAGCGATGCTAAGCTCACGTGCAGGGCTTGGCTGTGGCATACAGCTTGACTGCGAAAGCCGTTACTGGAGAAGTCAGGACGAGGTGAATGACTCAGAAGGGTAGTTTCATCAGAGTCAGCTGAATTTCAGGAAAAGTGAAACAGACTTGATGGGAAGGATGTGTGGGCTGATGGTGGACAAATTTAAGGTTTCGGGTTTGGATGGAGGGATATCGGCTGCAAAAGGCTGCACATGCCGGCACTTATTCGAGTTCGAAAGCGGAGATTCTTCAGACAAAGGATCGATTGGTTATTGACGGATCCCCAGAAAACTGTAGGTACATGTCCTTCAGAAGACAACACCATTTGACAAGGAAAACACTTCACTGCTTTACTGCTGGTTCTCAATATTGTGAACGGTTCCGCCGAATGCACTTTGACACCAACTCATACCCTTGACACGAAAACCTCTCGTTATTTCCTTTTGTTAAAGAAAAAAAAGTTCCCTCTTTTTCTCTTCTACTTTCCCTCTCATCGACATACTTCAACGTTATCAGGAAGCACTCTCTTTTGCGTGCATAGAGTGAGCACACTAGTCAACGAAAAAACCAGGTCTTACAGTGCAGCCCTGACCATCTAGAAAACATGCCACCAAAACCCACCATCGAAGAGGTCGACGATGACGAGATCGATAACATGGACATGGACATTGCCCAGTTCGATCCAAGTCTCAGGACACCGATTGCTCCAATCAACAAGCCAACGGTCACGAGGTCTCAAGACTCCGAACCTCCACTCTTTCCACAGCAGCCTTTCCAGCCTCCATCGGGCGGAAGCGCTCCCAAAAGCGAGGGAATCATGGATCCTCTGAAATTGTCTGAGCAAGATAAAGAGCACTTTGCCAAATTCCAAACGATATACCCATGTTACTTTGACATCAACAGAACGCACAAAGAAGGCAGAAGAGTCAGCATTGACTTGGCCGTGGAGAACCCTTTGGCCATCACCATTTCTGACGCATGCCGTAAGCTTGGTGTTCCAGTCATCCTTGAGTTGGACAGATCCCACCCTCAAGACTTTGGTAACCCGGGCAGAGTCAAGGTGTTCATCAAGGACGCTGGCGAGGTTCAGGACCCACGTTTCAAGACCAAGAAGGGTCTCCTCAACGAAATTGCATCCTACCTTCTGGATCATCCTACAACCTTGAAGAGCATAAGCAAGGGCGGCGGGCTTCCAATTCCTAAGGAATACGAGCAGGGCTTCGAGCCTGAGGAAATCCCTAAGGTCAAGGGTTTCAAGATGAACTCGATCGTGCCCATCCACTCCAACTACACTTTGAAACATCCAATGACTAAAACAATCTATGACCCCGAGCCTGAGACGACAAATGAGGCCCCCAAGCTACCCAAACAGCCCAAAAAGAAGATCATGAGAGTGAGAGGTTAATTTACATAATGCATCTAGTTTCATACATTGCAGGCCTAGGCCTTAGGAGCGTACTTCTTTCTGTAGGTGTCAATGTCCGCCAAGTTCTCGGGAGACAACTTGTCCTTCAAGTGAGTGACAATGTCAGACAAGGAAACGATCGAGAAAACGGGGATACCGTATCTGGCGGCAACGGCCTGGGTGGCAGACTTGTCGGAGTCAGGAGTAGTCTCCTGTCTGTCCAAAGCGATAATGCAGCCGGCCACTGTACCCTTTTCGTTGGAGATGATCTCGAAAGCCTCGTTGATGGCAGTACCAGCCGTCATAACGTCGTCGATGATCAAGATCTTCTTACCCTCCAAAGGACATCCCACAATGGAGCCGCCCTCACCGTGGTCCTTCTTCTCCTTTCTGTTAAAGGAGTAACCCAACTCAGAGTACTTCTCTGGAGCGAGCTCAGCTAACTTGGCAACGGTAATAGCCGCCAATGGGATACCCTTGTAGGCTGGGCCAAAAAGAACGTCAAACTCAACACCAGACTCGATAATGGCATTGGCATAGGCGGTTGCCAAAGTAGACAAGAGCTTGCCGTTGTTGAACAAGCCCAAGTTGAAGAAGTATGGAGACTGGCGACCAGACTTAAGAGTGAAGGTGCCGAACTTGAGAGCCTGAGACTCCAAGGCGAGGTCCAAGAAGGAGGTTTGGAAAGCGTGCATTCTACAGGTTCAAGTTCTCTGGCAAAGGCTGGAGTAGCTCTTTTGGATCAGAGAAAGAGAAAGAGAAGAGAGAAGAGGTCAAAAAATTCGTGTGCGCATATTGTGGAGGACGGATGGTGGGGTCAAATGCCATGACATGAAATTGGGGCTACTTTTAGACGCTGCTAGTTTTCGAGGTTTTCTTTACTTTGGATTAGTTTTGCTGAATCTTGGTCAGATCATTTTGACACATTTTGTAGGCCTTGTAGTACTCATCTAGATGGTAGTGAAGCTCATCGGGAGCAGCGCGAGTTTACACTGATACTACCACACCAACACACTTGCACATCAGCATGGCTGAAAAGCGAGATTTCAATAAGATCCTCGAATATCTAGAGGACGAGCATAGACATGATCTAGCCGTGCATCTTTATCTGGCCCACTTGCTACATCGAGTGAATCCGAGCTTTCCTCAGAGCAAATGGGCATCATGGCCAATGGCCTCATCCAAGGTTCCTGAAGTTCCTGACATTTATGAAGATACACTAGAAGATCAAAAGTCATTGGTTCCTGCTCCTCCTGTTTCAGTGGAGCCTCTAGATGAGCAGCTAGCTATGTCATTTAAAAGAAGCCTGCTGGGCATAACAGTGGAGAAGAAGAGGCTGCGTGATCTACCGAACGCAGTGCTACTCAACGCCATTAATGATATTGTGGAGAAGAAGATTAAGCAAAAGCTTGCATCAAAGGGTTTGTCACCAGATCCAAACTTCAATAGATCTCTGAACAGGGCTCTCTCGCTCAAGATCGCAGATCGTGCCAGTCGAACCTTGTGGAGATTGGAGAAACAAAACTCTTACAGGAACAAGAAGGCTCTGCTTAATACATGGCAAGATGTCCAAATAGCTAACATGCTTGGCAGGTCCAAGCAGGATAGAGCACCGGTTGCAAGCTATCGCAAAAGCTACGAGCAAGCTCGGGCTTTGTTTATGGAACGCAAGGAACACTATCAATACGATGATTCTCTCTACGGCAGCGATGCTGAGTCAGACTCCGATACTGACCCCAACTTCGTCATGACAGCGCCAGATTTCGATATTGAGCATCACCTTGATGCAATTAAACAAGAGGGGACATTGCCCTTCAACACGAACAATGATCCCTCGGCAGAGCTTGACGTGCGTAAACGAGACTTCGAAGAGAAGGAGTCGATTTTCACAGCCTTCTGGAACGACGCTGCGGCATCATCCCAGCTTTCCTATGCTTCAGATAATCCAAATTCATACAAGATAGCCGAAGGTCCCTTGGCCAAAGAGAGAGAAGATACACTTGCTACAAACATGCTTAGCAAAAAAGACTATCGGATTCATTTTACTAAATAATCACCCCACCCAAAACATATACTGCATTCATGAATAAACAGTCCTGATCATGGCCGACGCAGGTCGATTAGGAAACGACATAATCAGGCTATTGTAACTTACGATCTCTTTTGGAACGTAGAAGTAATTTCGGTGTCAAAAATGACATCCCAGAATCTGCTGGTAACACCAAAGCCCATTTCGTAGTTCTTGTAGTGGTGCTCCAAGTGGTAAGTCTTCAAGTCCTGGAAGAATTTGGGCAAGTTGGTGTGATGCAAGACGTAGTGTGTCACGTCGTACATAATGTAGCCCAAAGTTCCACCCGCAAAGCCCGAACAGGCCATGTAGAAGGGGAAGAGCTTGAAGATGACGCGATAGAATGGATAAGCCAAAATGACAAACAATGTGGGTGGCAAGACTAATCTGTATCTGTCCATTGGCAAGTAGTGGTGTACACCATGTAAAAGAAAGTGGAGGGTCAAGAAGTATCTGTTGTCTGGCAAGTATTGGTCCAAGTGGAACAAGAAGCGATGCAAGCAGTATTCCACCAAGGTCCACACGAACAAGCCCATGACCCACAAACTCAAGGCTGTGAGCTTGCTTTGATTCACGAAACCAATGTAGAAAAGGACCATGTTAGGAGGAATCCATACCAAAGGCACCACCCACCAAGGCGTTAACGAAAGAGGCTCTAAAAAGTTGCCAAAAAGTGGTGCCGAACCTTTACCAAAATGTCTGGGTCTGTGAACTTGGTCCAAGTAGAACTCCTTGGAGAAGGTGCTGCGAAGCATCTGTGGGATCAAAGGCTTCTTCAAGTCAAGGAACTTGTGTTTCTTTGCATCCTCGTCAAAGTCTGTCTGGACCGACAACATGTCAAGAGCAGGCAACTCATCGTGAAACTCGAACAAGTCGATCTCGGCCTGGGCCTCGTCCGTGAGTCTGACGTCAACAGGTACCTTCTTCTTGTTGTTGACCAACTCACGTTCTTCCTCGGCTGTAGCCATGTAGCCGATCAACATGTCGTCGTCAAGCATCTCATAAGCGCTTTCGGAGTGTTCGTGAGAGATGGTATCGGCCATAATCTCCGTCACATCCTTGCCCGCATATGGCATGACGATTTCAGCACCAGCCGGATGTTCATCAAGGAATCCCGTGATATTGTACACCTTTCTGTTGTAAAGAGTCACCCAGCAATCCTTTTCCGAGGTGTGCTTGGTGATCTCTCTAGCCGAAAGAAGAGGCAAAGTTCTGGCCATTTTTCTGTATTTAGTGGAGCCGGGTACACTGGGGTAAAATCTGTCAGTGGTTGCTGCTTATTGAAAATAAGAGGCACAGCTGCGAGGCATATATATGGGTTTGGTGCTCCATGGATACTGTTTGTGTCACGTGCTCTTCATCGCACCACTTTTCTCCTTTTTTTTTTAGTACAGGACGCGACCAACCAATGGCAAGCCTTTAGTATGGTGTGTTATCGGGTCCATCTAGAGCATTAGGTAAACAGAGAGATCTAGAGCGTCGGCTTTTGTGGAAAGCACGCCACTTTTTCCGAATGTTTATTTTACCTTCCCTATCCAATGCATAGTCTTTTATATGAGTTCTTTTTTTTTTAGGCCCGTTTTGCCTCTCGTATTTTTCTTCGGCACCCATTGTTCTCTACACCGTTATCTCATTGTAGGAATCTCCGCGTAGATCGAGCCGGACAGTGTCAAATGCGTTGTCGTCGAGAGCATCGTCCTCACCTTCAAAATCGGTATCCTTGTCGTCATCATTGAAAAGGTCCATGTCTGCGTCCGGCTCTTCCATGGCATTTGATTCTTCTTCACTCATGCGCTGCTCCAAGTGTAACGTATGGTCCACCAAGTTCAAGTAGGCATACATGAAATTAGAGAGCAAAACTTGCTCACGGAGCGATCTCTTGCGGTTGGCGAGTTTGAGATGTGAGAGTCTGTAAATCGCTCGCTCAACATGAACGGGGAATCTGTAGTCCAACATCACCAAAGTTGATACTGACGGAGGTGGAAGAGGGAATCCGAATGCGGAGTCCGTGTACTCAAGGGGCTGGTTAGCCTTCGATGTTCTCTTGATCAGCTTCTTGATCTTCTCTTGGACCTCTAGCGTTGTTTGTGGCTTCTGCTCTTCCAGATCTTCCTCAGATGCTTCCTCGATCGTTTCCTCAACCTCGACAGTCTCCACGGCAGATTTCTCCTTCTCTTCATGTTTGACCTTCGCCTTCATCTTGCTGATCAAGGTTGGCTTGCTGGACTCGATCGATTCTTCCTTCAGAATTTCCAGCCTGACTTCATCAATACTTGGTTCCTTCTCTTCTTTAGACGATACACTGCGGGCATCATCATCCTTCGAAGTGCCAAAAATAGCAGAGCTGATTCTCTTGATAGTCTTTTGTTCTTTCTCCTCGTTGGTGCTCTCGTGTCTTTGGGCATAAACTTCTGGGCTTTCGACGGAGTTGCTTCTCTTTTTCTTGAACAACTTCGAGATGACATTCTCCTTTGGCTCCTTTTGGTCGGAAGATGCCTTGTGGTCCCTCTTGTGTGAATTGATGTCTGGCGAGGAAACTGAACGGGATGGCTTTTGCAGATTTGCCATTTCCGGTAAGTTCTGAGCACTAACTGACCGGCCCTTCGACCAAATCCAACTCTTCTTGGTCTTCTTCTTGTCACCTCCAGTGAGTGAGCCAAACGACTTTTTCTTCTTCAACTTCTTCAGCTCATCAACTACTGGCATAGTTGGTGATACCTCAGTTCTCTTCAAACTCTCGTCGGCTTCAGAAGTTCTCGTTTTGACTCTGGGGAGACTTTCAGATGACCTGTTGTTTTCAAAAGTCTGCCTCGATGAGACTTTATCATCCTTGATTTCCAGCTGCTTTGCAATGGCCTCGGCTGATTTACTAACAGATTCTTTTCGTTCAACCTTCTCTTCCTGAGATGGCTCCTCCTGAGATGTTTGTACGTGATCCTTAGTCGGCTCGTCGACATCCTTCTTGAGTGGCTCAGCAGGTCTCTGTACAGCTTCCTCCTGTTCAAGCTTTGGTGAAGGTTCATCAATGGTCTTCACTTCAAACTTCGTGATCTCATCGTCATTCTTAGGCAACTTTACAGCCGATGCACTCTCAATTTCCCGGGCATTTTGCGTGGCATCCTTCTCCCTTTCTATAGGAGCTGTACCCATCGAAGTACGCTTGGTTTGCTTCTCTGGACTGGCGATAGGAGTACTGGTGCGTACCTCGTCCTTGAGCTGACCAAGAAAGTCCTTCTCCATTCCAAGAGTATCCTCGTAACTCACATCAGCGGAAGAAGTGTCAAAGCTGATTTCAGGAACCACTTCATCGGGCTGTACTGCGGAAGTTTCTTGAGGTTGAGAAGCTTCTGGCTCCTTAACTCTTTCCCTCTTTCGTTCTGGTTGAGACAAACTCTCCTTGAATTCATTGATCTCGTTCCTCAACATGTCGAGATTCTCATTGAGCTGCGATGTCTTCTCCAGCTTGATATCACGACCCAACCTTGCAGGATGATGTGGTGTGTTCACCCTCTGATGCTCCTCCTTGACGGGGTCGGCCAGAGGCCTCCTCGATCTCGGTGGCATGCCGCTTCGATTTGCAGCTTGCCAATGCTTGTGGGATTGCTGCTGAGGATAGCCATGAGTCTGAGGGTATTGCTGCTTATATTCCACATTTTGGCCACTCTGGTTTTGGTATTGAGGGTGTCCTTGTGGTGAAAAGTTACGTCTCTCAGCTGAAGGTTGGCCATGCTCGTACCTAGGATGAGAAGTTGGAGATGGTTTCCGCTGTTGAGGCCTGAATTGACCAGATGGCGAATGTGGCGATGGGTATCCGCTGGAGCCTTGATGGCCTTGCTGAAGATTTTCACGCAGTGGACGTGAAGAAAGTCCGTGCTTGTGGCGCTGATGCATAAGATTTTGGGCGCTCAAGCTACGAGGACCGAAGTTGTGATGCAACTCAGGCGATGATGCCACTGGTCCGAATGGCGAGTCCTTGACGGATGAGCCCATGCCGGGGCCCTGTGATCTTCTTGGAGCTGGCACAGCCGGTGGAGGTGTTGAATTTGGGGGAGCTGAGGCAGGCAACTTTGGGTGGCTCAGCAGCCTTGCAGGACCCTTGTAATTAAAGAGAACCTGTGAGCTTCTAGGATTAATGCTTTGCATACTCTGGCGGCTCGCTGGGCTCTTCATGAGTCTCTCGGGCTCACTTGGATATGACATAGGCATTGCTGAGGAATTAAGATTGTGTCTAAGCTCGGCCAAATTTCCAGCTTTCTTGTTCTGCAACTGAGACCCTAAGTGTGTGGGGGTCGAGGTATGCGGCTTTCTATAATTCATTCGCCTGCTTCTCTTCAAAGCAAATTGCGACTCTTCAGTTGGAGAGCGCTGGTCGCCGGCAAATCTCTGTTGAGGCCTTCTCAGGGGCGATGCTTGGGGGCTATTTTGATAGCGCTGATGCGATGGTGGATGTTGCTGATGTGGACCTCTGGATGTCTGCTGACCAGGGAAAGCCTTTGTAGGAGACTTGTCCATGCCGAAGTCAAGTATTTCGGCTTGGTTGGCGCCAGCGTGCGCTTTAGGGGAACCCAACTCGTCGATAGCAGCTTTTTCAACCTCAGTATAACCAAGAGAGTGTGTTGACAAGGATCTTGCTAGCGTAACAGCGTCGTCGGAGTCCATACCAGCTAGACGCGATAAAGTCTCGAGCTCAGTGCTGAGCTCCAAAAGTGAAGGATTGCTATAACGATTGGTCAGGTCCTGATGCTGCGACAGATTGTCGATTGAAGTGTCTTCTTCGTCGTCATCGTTATGCGAATCGTCATTGGTGGAGAGCGATAAAGAGGAGCGCTTTGAACGGGTTGACTTCGATCTCGAAATCTTCCGTTCTAGAAGCTCGTCGATGGTGACTTTAACATGCTGCTTGAATTGCTGAGGGTTGACCTCTGGGTGCATATTGGCTGGAACCCAGAGAACATTGTCGTGATTCACAGACAGTGTGTCTGAATCTATGCTATCTTCTGGTGTAACGTAAAGAGATGGTGGTCCAGAAGAGACCTTCGAGGGTGATAAGGATGGCTCTTTACCTTCCATCGGAGGACTTTGTGATTCGGATGAAACGGGTGATGCAGATCTTGAAAGCGAAAGGGTATCTAGAGAGGCGGTGGAATCGTCGTTTCTCTCTCTCTCGTTCATGAGGAGAAGCTCGGGGTCCTCCATGGGAAAGTCCGGATCGTGGTCGATCATATTACCCATGGAAAGCCTTTTCAAGGCCTTGACCATTTGCTTCTCCTGTTCGATTTCCAAGGCAGCAGATTCATAGCTCTCGGGAGAGTTGATCCTCAGGGGAGTCGAGGATCTTGAGGTTGTATCTGACATGGAACAACAACTCAGGGTATTATGAAGGTGTATTAGATTCTGAGCAGTCTGCTATGCATTTAAAAAAACCGAAGTTTCGTTTGTGGTGGTATTCTGGTGGGGTTGTGGCGCACTGAATCAACGAAAGTACTTGGATCAAAAATTGATAATCCAGGAGGCACAGCAGCAAAGACAGCTGCGTGTGATAATGCAATAAAAGTGGAAGTGGTTGGATCTGAGATCACGCTCAGGTTGTGGTAAGAGGTTCAATCAGACGGGTAAGTTTTCTCTTGACTAAATGAGTATGGAGAATGAGAAAAGCTAGGCAAACTAACTACTGCCAAAACACCTTTCAAGTCGTGTATGCGTGCACACAAGCGCGACTTACTGCCATAAGGTTTTCGCAACCATTATGTTAAAAGGAGTCGAAAAAGGAAGCGGGGCGTGTGTGATATATCAATTCGATGCTTTTTTTTACCATTTCTAGTAGTATTTAATTTTCGTGGGATTAGAACGTTGTTTCGTGTGGCAGGGTGGTAATTAAGTGGGTGTATGATTTTTGACCCATTAGGGGTTAGCGGCAGATCCCCCACAAACATTCTGACGCAGACCCAGTACGACAATATTGATCCTCACCGCCGTTTGTCCCCAAAATGGATCATTCGTGGTCTTTTTAGTTGATTTCATGCTAACGGTTGGAATTGGTTCTCCTGTCGCATTGGTACGCCTCAAATGAGCCGCAAGAAGGCTATGAGGCCAAAGATAAGCAACAAGCAATAGACGTAGAAGAATCTCGGATGTCTGTCTTTGATTTCGAAAGAAGGGAAACTCCCAAGATTACATCCAACATGCATAACTATAGCGCACCAAAGATTCTCTCCAGTAGAGATGTAGATGCGGTTCGCAAGAATGCCAAATATCGTGGTATACAAAAACTGGAATGCAGTGGTGGCTAGAACGGTGGACAAGGCTACACCTTGTCTATGCAAATCCCATCCATGGTGAAGATGAGCCAGACCAAAAAGTAACGGTGTGTACACAGTTAAGGCCCAGGAACTGGAGATCACAGGCTGGAGAAGACTGAATATCGCTGCCCTATAGACAAATTCCTCGGTGATGGGCGCAAAGACATGCGACCTAAAGCCCCAGAGCGTCATGAAGTTATCTTTTAGATCTTCCTCCAAAGAAGGCCCAATTAGGAAGTAGCTCGCTAAGGGTCCACAATAGAGTATAAGCATCTTGCCGAGACAGATCACAACGTTCAAAACGTCCTCGGTTATGCTGTGTGTGTTGGTGAAGCCAGGTATGAGTCCAAACTGGCGGATGGCACTGGGAAGGTCATGGTAGTAGTCTAAGCCATACGTTACGACGAACGGAAGTGAGATCAAGATGAAGATGCACAAGCTGGTGACCCTGCCCATTCGGTACTTCATGACCTGTAGATCATCTCTAGAGAGGTTCTCTAGGTACTTGGGCTGTGCAATCTTGATACTGGCCACGTATGAGTACGCAATGGCCCCACTTAGTAGAAGAGGGATGAGCATGGATGAGATCGAACGATGGTCTGGCTGCGAAACTTCATGTTTCAGAATGGGTCTGAGTGCAGTAAGCCAATCAGGGACGAATTTTTGGTGAGACTGTTTTTTGTGCTGCTGGGTGCTTTAGGTGATTTGAGCTTTCCTTAATTGTTGGTATCGGTGTATGTGGGTGGTATCCGATTGTCACCTTCACTAGTTGAAGAGAAGGCTAAGAGATGGACAGTGGAAGACGAGAGGTAGAAAAAACTGCTTGAAAGTAGGTTTTCGTCTATTAAGAAGGCCAATTGTCTTCCTTCTGCTTCCAATCGTGTATGATTGACATAGAGGTCTGGTTCTTGATATCTGGTTCAACAGTTCATTAGTGACCCAGCAGAGCTCGTATAGTGCAACATGAGTGTCATCAACGAAGTGAATTAAAGCAAATTGAAGACAATTTGAGCTACAGCTTTGAATAGCGACATGATTGGGGCGGTTCTTGAAAACGAACATAGGTCCAATACACAATTTACGTTTTTTCACTTTCTATGAAAAGTTCGATTTCATTGCATTTTCGCAGCCAAAATATGAAAGGGAGAGGATACCGTAGAACAAAGTAAACAACAGAGATAACGTCAAAACAACATGGTACTACTTTAGGCTCTTGACCAGCTCAGCTAATACTTCACCCGAAAAGCTCAAGTCCTTCAAAATGGTACTTTCCCATCTTGAAGTGCTATCAAAATGCGGCTCCCACGAAGGGTGCAACAAAATCCATCGAACAAATTTAGTAACATCTTCTCGGAAAAGAAAGGCTCACCAAATCTACCTTACTTTACATTCACATTTGTTCAGGTTTATTTCGTTGCAGATGATTCACTCAAGAGCCTCTTAACTAGTGCACACCAATAGAACGCGGCATTATTTCTCTGAGTCATAATCGCACCTTCACCTCACATTATCAGGCCGCATGCGTGCAGGCGAATTGACGTTACTGCATTTCTCCAGATTCGTTTTTCAGAAGCATCAAAACTTTTCAATCTTCTCATCGTCGAACCATAATATATAGAGAGGATGAGAAACACAATAATATGCACTGTCCGCTCCTTTGCCTCGTCGGCTAGCCTATCGAGAGGCCAGAATTTGACGGAAAAGATAGTACAGAGATATGCGGTTGGACTTCCCCAGGGCAAGAAGGTCTTCAGCGGTGACTATGTTTCTATCAAGCCTGCCCATTGCATGTCTCATGACAATTCGTGGCCTGTGGCCACCAAGTTTATGGGTCTTGGTGCTACCAAGGTTAAGGATAACCGCCAGATCGTCTGCACTTTGGATCACGATGTCCAGAATAAGTCAGACAAGAACTTGGAGAAGTACACCAACATCGAGAAGTTTGCCAAGGAACAGGGCATAGATTTTTACCCAGCAGGCCGAGGTATTGGCCACCAGATCATGATCGAGGAAGGTTACGCTTTTCCTTTGAATTTGTGTGTCGCTTCAGATTCTCACTCCAACACTTACGGTGGTGTGGGTTCTTTGGGTACGCCTATTGTGAGAACCGATGCTGCTTCCATTTGGGCAACCGGCATGACATGGTGGCAGGTTCCTCCTGTGGCTAAGGTTGAGCTTGTCGGTGAGTTGCCAAAGGGTGTTACCGGAAAGGACGTTATTGTCGCTCTTTGTGGTTTGTTCAACAATGATGAAGTTTTGAACCACGCTATTGAGTTTGTGGGTGATGGCTGTGCCAAATTGCCTGTGGACTACAGATTGACTATCGCCAATATGACCACCGAGTGGGGTGCTCTTTCCGGTTTGTTCCCTGTGGACGATACTTTGGTGAACTTTTACAAGGACAGAATCAACAAGTTACCTCAGCCTCACCCCCGTGTGAACGAGGAGACCATCGCCGCTCTCGAACAAAACAAGGATGCTTCCGACTCCGATGCTGTTTACGCTAAGCACTTGGTCGTTGACTTATCTTCGCTTTCTCCATACATTTCGGGTCCTAACAGTGTGAAGGTGTCTAACTCCCTTCACGACTTGGCTTCACAGAACATTCCAATCAACAAGGCTTACTTGGTTTCCTGTACCAACTCTCGTTTGAGTGACATCAAGGCCGCTGCTGACATTATTAGAGGTAAGAAGGTTGCCGATGGTGTTGAGTTCTATGTCGCGGCTGCTTCTTCCAATGTCCAGAAGGACGCTGAGGCTATTGGTGCTTGGAGCGACATCATTGAGGCTGGCGCCAAGCCACTTCCAGCCGGCTGTGGTCCTTGTATTGGTCTTGGTACTGGTTTGTTGAAGGATGGTGAAGTTGGTATTTCTGCCACCAACAGAAACTTCAAGGGCCGTATGGGCTCCAAGGATGCATTGGCCTACTTGGCCTCCCCTGAGGTTGTCGCTGCTTCTGCTGTTCTTGGTAGAATCGGTGGTCCTGAAGAGTTGGACGGCAAGCCTGTGGAAAACGCTTCCAAGGTGCTTAAGTCCTTGACAATCACTGAAGCTACTGCTGATGCTGCTGATGCTGGCGCTGCTGTTGAGGTCTTGGAAGGTTTCCCCAAGGCTATCGAAGGTGAGTTGATCTTGTGTGATGCTGACAACATTAACACTGACGGTATCTACCCTGGTAAGTACACCTACCAGGACGACATCAGCAAGGAGATGATGGCCGAAGTTTGCATGGAGAACTACGATCCTGAGTTCAAGAACAAGACCACCTCCAGCGATATCATCATTTCAGGCTACAACTTTGGTACTGGATCATCTAGAGAGCAGGCTGCTACTGCCATTTTGGCCAGAGGCATGAAGATGGTTGTTGCTGGTTCTTTTGGTAACATTTTCTCCAGAAACTCCATCAACAATGCTTTGTTGACCCTCGAAATTCCAGCTTTGATCAACAAGTTGAGAGAGAGGTACGAGGGTGCCACTGAATTGACCATCCGTACTGGCTGGTTCTTGAAGTGGGACGTCACCAAGGCCTTTGTCACTGTGACTGATTCCAACGGTAACGTTGTGCTTGAACAGAAGGTCGGTGAACTAGGCACCAATTTGCAAGACATCATTGTGAAGGGTGGCCTTGAAGGCTGGGTCAGAGCCGAGCTCTCGTCATAGATCCAGGTGCATTATTTATAAATACAGACAAATAGGTTGACCGTTGTAGATGTACGTGGTGTTAAGCGGGTATTAGATGAATACTGGCTGCACAGCATGGTAAGTGTTTCATTGTCCAACTTGCATTACGGATGAAAGAGGGAAGAGGTCACAAGGTGGGATGAATGATAAAGAAACACAAAATGATAAGAAGACAGGAAATTGAAGAGTTTCAGCTAGCAACTCAGTAGTCATCCGATTCAAGAGATTCTTGAGCAAAACAAGGACATCCACCGACTGCCGTTTCATGTGGATGGTGGTACCCCAGACCACAATGCCATACGCTCGCCAAACTCCAAATTCTAGACCAACAAATTCACATCAACTGTTCCTTCCATCGTGGGTCTCGGCGTTAAAGCACATCTCATTTTCACACTACAACTCATTTCATCCAACTCCATCGGCACAGTTGATGCCGACATTCACCAACCGGGTCTCCTAAGCCGATCCACCTGCACGGCATGTCCATTGCTTTGAAACAAGAAACTTTCACCGGCAGCAGGAGAACAAAGGACCACAATGGCAGAAGAAAAAGGCACGGCTGACTTGTCCAATAGACATTTGAAAAGCAACTTCTTTCACCCATTGGATGGTTGCTTTGAAACCAAACCTCCTCCCCTCCTCGTATTTTGTCAAGTCTACACGGTTCCCACCTTACAACGGCTCATGCTGTGCCACAACCCCAGAATTCTCAACCTAAGCCTGCAGAGGCTTTGGAGAGTTCCCTTGCATGGTAAGATTGGCCCGGCTGCAAACAGAGAGATGCCACACGGTCTCATTCTTGAAAACACGCTACGAAGGGACAAGAACCCCCTGATTTTTTTGCAAACTGAAACTCGTTCCTCTTGCTATTGCTACATGATTTATTACTCTTTGTGGCCGCCGTTGCTAGGCCTTCCCCACCGCGAACTAGTGGTTTGAAACAGCGGGGAGTGCATCAGGTGGTGCTCTCAATGCCCAGGCTTACACGGCATGGCAAGCTTATCGACGTCATAGTCAGGGTCATCGGTTTGGCAAAACGCTTTTGGGAAAATCTCCCCAATTAGTTCGGGAATTTTGCGCTGGCTGGTGAGCTCCTGTCATGACAAATGGGGAAGATCGGTGACTCTTCAGAGGGTGTCAATGCTTTGTTGACCTGCACCGGGGGTAGCGGTGCCGTCATGGCAAGGCTTCCATGCAGACGCCGGTGGGCATCTGATCTATGTTTTTCTTCGTTTGCTCGTGTAAATTACCCAATTGGGAACAGCAAAAGTTCCTTCTAGCCCGAACTGCCGCCTAGAGCTAGGCGTAAAGGTACCGTAATGGCATGCCAGGTCGGCTATAGTGCTTTTCCAGCAAGCCCAATAATGCGGGGAAGGCCGTATTGACGCACCTGATGCGTCGGAGTCGGTGGTGCGCCTTGTAGCGGCGCAGATTGTGGGGGGTCACGTGTAGCGGTTAGGTAACGAAATTTTTGTCTATTTCCAAATTACTATGTTTCTAAAGATGATACTAATATTTGTCGGTGGTGGCAGACCTGCTGCTGCTGGCGGTGTCCGTGTAATCAGGAGTCCGTAAAATCAGTTGATGCTGTTGTACATTGACAACTTGAAGACTTTTTTGGCGAGCTCGTAGTTGCGTACTGCCCGATCAGAGAAATCCAACAAGGCGTCGGCAAACAGCAACGCCATGAGAATCCCGTTCATAACAAAGTAGAGCCCCAGATCTAGCACCAGCCAGATCCGCTCTATCGCAGTAATAAATAATGCCACAACAAACGCCCACAATCTCTGGGGCAAGCTCGCCAAATGGGAGGGGGATGTGCTGATGAAGCTCATTGTGGAGTTCATGGTGCAATGCAAACGTGTAAACGGTTTATGGAGAAGGAAAGGTGTGCTTCTTTTTTCTTTTCTTTGGAGCAGCCACATTCAAGCGGCGATGCCGCCTATTTATACATGTTGTGGTGATCTCCACAAAACACTGCTTCTGCGCAATGACTTCCCCTCCCACTCACAGACTATCACAGCGCGCCTGTATGCACGACGGCACCACCGACACTGTTTAGGTTGCAAAAAAGCAAATGCAAACCGTCACTATGGAGTGTATACTCCGGTGAGCATCGGCCCGCACTGCGACCGACTTAAACCTCCACCGCATTAAACAAAAGATGATGCTTGTTCTTCAACTCATGGAAATAACTGCTCCATTCCCCACTTGTACTGTTGCTATGGATAAGCACGTTATTGATCACTTTCAGAAGTTTGATGACCATCCTCAATGACTCTTCCTGACTTTCAGCCTCTTGCGTGCTTGCTTTACTCCGCAATTTTTTGTTGATCACCTTGGTCAAAGCGGAAATCATCTCTTGCTGGTTTGCAATCGCATGCAACACGTTCTCGTCGTTTGAAACAATCTGTAAGAGGTTTTGGATCGCCATGATCACGATGCTGTTCTCGGTGTCATTGAGACCCTTGACCAGCAAAACCTCAAACATTTTCGTCTGATTCACGCCTCCTTCCTTATCCATCAAGCGCTCATTGTCAATATTGATAATGGCATTGATGAGCTCGTAACATAGCTTTCTCACCTCGAGCCCCTCATCCACAACATACTTGTAAGGACCCATTGGGATGACCTTCTTGAATTCTTCTTTTGCGTCCAATTCTTCGTAAATGCCTGGTAGAATGTTGTTGTTGAGGAAGTCCGGGATTAAGAGCGACTTGTTGTGTATGCCAGTCAAGAGCGTGCTAACAATGGCCTGCTTGAGTTCTAAGTTAGGTTTCGAGAGGTACCGCAAAATCTCCTCCACTAGCTGCACATTCAAATCCTGGGATTCCGAGTCATTGATCAATTGTTTTGTGATGACTACCACAGTGTAGATGGCATGCTCGATCTGACTATTCTCAAGAGCTCCACTCTCCAACACGTCAAATAGCTTATTCTGGTATTCGTCCAGTTTGGTGAACTCGCATATCTTGGCCAAAACCTCACCTGCCAATTTCAATTCCGAGACATCTTTATGGGTAAGGCTTCCCCCCTTTGAGCTGATGACGTCAAATAAACTGTGCCAGATGTGGGACAACAAATTCTGCTTTTCGTGACTCATGTTGCCCTTCATCAATTGTTTTATAGCCACTAAAACCAAGCTGCCCTTTTGTTCCGAATTTTGGCTTGATGAGTGGTAATATTTCAAAAGTACCGGCAAGTAAGTTTCAACATCTCTTTTGATGCACAAGCCAACAGCTCTCGCGGCAGCGAGACAAAGGATGTCGTTGTTGTCAGAAATCATAAGCGAAAAGAAGTCATCAAACGTCACCCCGGTCAAGGCTACTGCCTCACCAATGCATCCCAAGTATTGAATGTCAAACACAATCTTGTCAAATGAAGACGAAGAAACCGTCTTGTCAGAGAAAGAGGCGAGTTCGGCTTCAGCAGTCGACACTCTATCTTTGAGGTCACAGTCAAGTGTGATGATGGCCAACACTTTAGCACTCAAGAAGTTCCTCAAAACGAGGTTCTGCAACCCAATATCATACAACTCTTGACCTGAAAGCGACGACTTCTTAGTGACTTGGTTTATCAAGTACTCAAGAGACAGCAACTCGACGTCGTCCTCATCAATCCACTTGATATTAATGACCTGATTGATGAGCTTCTTGAAAAACTCACCATCAGCGGGGATGTAGTTGAGGGCATGACCAAGAATACAGATTGCCCTGTTAATGAGGTTGGGATCATTGGTCTCCAGTAACAAATGAAAAACATTTTGGGTCAAAGTTTGCAAGTCTCCTCTTTCGCCCTTGAAGAGCGTGTTGACAAAGATCGCGTCAAGTAGGATTAATGAGTTGACATACAAACTCGAGTCGCTGGATGATAGGTACGAGTTAAGCTTGGCAACAACTAGATTGCATAAATCACGATTGTCGAACACTTGAGGTCTCCTTTGACATATAGTGATGAGGTTCTCAATGGTGAAGTTAACAGTGACTTCGTAGTTCATACTTTCTTTGTAGATATCAATGGCATGGGAGAGATTATTTTCTGACACATCCAAGTTCACAATAAGCTCCGTGAGAGAGTTTAATGAGTGTTGTCTCACATCACTTGAATATTGCTTGACATTGATCTTTTCCGCAATTGGAGTGAACAAGGTATTGTTGACTAAGGCGACGTATTCCTGGTTGCCAGCCACCTTTGGGTAAAACTCATTGCAGACTGTTAAGATATCGGAAATAAAGCTGTAGTAAGTCTTGCTATCCGTAAGTGAGCCAACGAGATCATCAAAGATGAACCTAAGAAGCTTTGGAGGTATATCTTCGATTGTGTAGGTCTTGAGAATAACCTTGTAAAGTTTGATTAGATCAGGATTTGTCTTGAGGGTTAACTTAAATTCCTCGAATTTGTTTGACAAATTCTCCAAGAATGATGGGGACAAGAAAACTGCAAGGACCCGAACCATTGACTCAATCAATGCGTTGGATGTCGAGACTCTCGCGATATTTTTCGTCGTCAAGAGACAATTAAAGACGTAGTCCTCGAGAAGAGGAGGTAATCTTGTTGTCATTTGCGAAGATGGAGTTCCCGAGTTTCCACTCTCCGTCATCATGCTTATGTCAGAATTAGGACGTGATCTGACTGTTGCAGCGGCGTGAGTGGCTTTCAAGACGGTAATAGTAGTAAAAATGGCTTCGTTCGACACCGCATCATTCTTGTCGCCAATGGCCACAATGAGAGGTTCGACCAAGTTTTCGCCATAGATGATGCCGAGAATTCCTGGATAAGCTTGCGTCATTTGCTTGATCAACACTATGGTTTGAAGTCTAAGTTTAGATGCCAAACCATCGTTGTCCTCAGCGGTTTCAACCTCGATTGACTCCTCATCATCAGAAAAATCAATCTCAGATTCATCATCCTCGATATCGTCGTCAGAATTATCATATCTAAGTGGGTCATATGAGATAAATGCTTTGACAATCTCCACGACAGGATGGGCGTAAGCATGAAGGAAAGTCTCATAGGCTATGCAATTAATGAGGCTGGAGAGAGTGATGAGTGCATCTTCACGTACCAGATTCTCCAGAACCAAGACATCGACATCCAAGTCTTCCACATTGAGGGATCTGGCAAGCGAATCAAGCTTCAAACTGGTGTTGATCTCAGAAAAGATGATCAGAGCTGAGACTTCTGAGAATACGTCACGCTTAGCTTTGTTAGCCTTCGCAAGCACAACTTGGAGCAAGGTGAACTGAGTGTTCTTTGCCGTCACACCTTTATTAGTAGCTGTGTAGGTGAGGTGAATGTCGTTCACAACCTTGTCGAAGAATTGTAGTTGTCTCACAGTTTGCTCCTGTGTTACCAGATGAACATGGTCCAACGCATAATCCACCGCCACAATGGCTCTTTTACTTATGATGCCAGACTCTGAGTAGGCGAAGCGAACCAAGGATAAAATCATTCCTGAGAGCTCATTGGCAGATAAAATTCCACCCAATGCTTTGATCAAGTCAATGATAATCTCAATACTATCAATAGTGACTGGGGTATCTGTGGCGAATAGACGAGGAAATAACGAGTCAATCACATTCCTCGCCAATGCTTTTCCAAATCTAGATCCTGAATTGTTGAAGATCGAACGCAATGCCAAATTTGGAACAGAAGTGGAGAATTTGGAGGTGTTGGAGCTTTTCAATACAGCGTCATACAACATGTTCACCACGGATAAGACTTCCTGGTCATCAATGTGACGAACTAACGGAGCAAAAGATTTAACTGCTTGATTCTGAACCTCAGTGGCACTGTCATTGAGCAATGTTATAAGGAGAGGGATGAAACTGGAGACATTTCTGGCCTGAACTTTGGGATTGTTAAGATGTTTGGCGAAGTCTTCGAGCGCCATGTAACGGAGATCCGGATCCACATCACGTGCGCTATCTTCCAATTGTCTAATATTGAAGGTTGACATTGGAAGTGGTTAGATTGTTGTGATTTTGTACTTTAGGTGTTGCAGTTGCAACTATGCATGTTGTACTACTAGTGCGATACTTGCCCTGGTGTACGGGTGCCACTAGTGCACTGTTTCATCAGACTGAGGTCTGTAACAATCAGACGAGTTGGTACAGGTTTGAAATTTAGGGAATTATGCATTTCTAAAATCCGTGAATTATGTTTCCGTATTGTATGAGAGATAGTCATCTAATATCGTCAAATGTGATGGCCGAAGGGGGCCGAGCCACCAAAATGGCTGCAAAATGGTTGTTCGAAGCGACTTTCAACAGAACCGCAAGATCTTTTGGCAAATCTTAAGGCTTCTTGTCCGAGCTCTTCAGTTTTCTTCTCTCCCTCGCGTTTTTGGGGTTATATTTTGAACGTTCCTTGCGCTTCTTCTTCTCGGATTCCGAATCGGAATCCTCAAAGTAGTCCTTGACCTCGACATGCTCAATTATCAAATTGTCCTCAGGGTCAGCACTTGAGTTGGTGGATGACCCCTCCTCAGAATCGCTCTCCTCAGAACCATCAGTGTTCTTCAGTTGCTGCTTATTCTCCTTGTACTCCTTCGAGTCATTAGATGGCTTCTGCTTAGGCTCAATTTCGGAATCAACAGGTACACTCAGCAGCTTAGACTCGACAGGCTCGCTGTCTTGGGCCTCTGTGGCTTCTTCGTCTAAACCGAGAAACTCAACCGGGTCATCTGTAAGGGCACGAAGTAGCTTCTTGGTTCTGATAGCCGTCTCACGTGTCACCAGGGGAGTCTTTTCTTCTTCCTTTTTCTCATCTGACTCCTTTTTCTCCTCATCTTCTCCATTACCGTACAACTCAGCGTTCACCTTCTCTTCAATCGCCTTGCACACTTCATTCCACTGGTTTGCAACATCGGTCAACTGCTCAATGAGTCTATCACGAGCGCCACCCTGAATGCCTTCAATATATGAGATGAGGTTCTCTTCATATTCGTGGGGAACCTCGCTTAAGTTCTTCAAGATCCAGTTTTGCTTCTGCTTGCTGAACTTCCAGTTCTCTCTATCAGTAGCGTATTGACGCAAGTATGCAAGTTGATCCTTCTCTGGTGGGGGCTTTCTTTCAGCTTTTGGAAGCTTAACTCTCTTTGGTGGTTTCTTCTCTTTAGTGGCTTTCGTCTTGTCTTCTTCTCTTGATCTCTTCTTATTAAGCTTCTTTGCAAGTTTTTTATCCACATTTGCGCTCTCTAAATGCACCACACCCGAGTATGATGTATTATCACGGCTTTCATCAAGCTTAAGCCCGATCTTCTTCCATGCTGGAACGGTAGCCATCATTGAATAATCAGAGCGATAGCAGATCTCATCTCCTTATTGTTATGCTGTGGTGCACAGGTGTGGCATTCAGAGAAGGATCCAGCTTTTTAGTGTCTTACAATATTATATAGCTTGAGAGATGAATTGATTTACTTTCTTATTTCAGGCGATTTCATTAACCCTGCTTCGTATTAACTTTTTCTGGTTGGGGGTTACCCTGCCTGGACTCATATACTTTTCCAGTGCATCGCGGGAAATTTCCTCACCAATACACTTTTCTTCTTCACAAATGTTGTAGAAACTATACTATAATTGCGAACGCAGGGCTCTACTTCGGTAGCTGACCCAGTGGCATCTCGTTCAATGAGATGTTGCTACGGCGTGACGCTATATTGAATCTCACATGAGTTTGAGTCTGCTGTGAATACGTATACTCATGGTGGATATAGAAATTGTGAACATTTTTAGAGCGTCAAGATATGCTCCACGAGGCCCTTGTAGCCAACCACGGAGTCCAAAAGGTCCTTGTTTTCAACGTGCTCGTCCTCACTGTGAGCAACGTGGATGGTACCTGGTCCGTACAAGAAGCGCTTCTTCAAGGGCAACATGAGGTTAGGCACATCGGTGTTGTAAGCAAGGATAATGGATTCGAAACCTGGCACCTCGTAGTCAAGGTATTGAGGCTCGGTAGTTCTTCCCTTCACGGGAACAACGTGCTCCACATCGTCCACGACAGTGTGGACCAATCTGACCACTTCGTCGAGATCAGAAGCCACTCTGATGGCAATTGTGGCCTTACCGTAAGCTGGCACGACATTGGCAGCAACACCAGCTTCAATCTTACCAATGTTGACGGTGGAAGGCCCCAAAAGGTCCGACTTGGGGAGGTCCAAGTTCTGGATCTTGTGGAGAATAGGCACCAAGATGTCGGTGGCAGAAATACCCAATTCTGGGTAGCCCGAGTGGGAAGCTCTACCGATCACTTCCACGTCGAAAGCGAAAATACCCTTGTGGCCGACACCGAGCTTGTTCTCGGTGGGTTCGCCGAAAATGGCATAGTCCCACGAAATACCAAGCCCCTCACTGGCGGTTCTCATGCCAATACCGGAGTTCTCCTCTCCAACAACAAAGAGAAGCGACGCGTCGCCTTCCTTGATCTTTCCCTCGTGAAGCAAATCCAAAAAGGCGATAACCTGAGCGGCCAAGGGTCCCTTATCGTCACAGGCACCTCTGCCTCTGATTTTAGTGCCATCCACAGAGTACCCAATATGAGGAGGAACCACGTCAATGTGGGAGGAAATCACCGTGCTGGTGTTTCTCTGTTCCCCGTAGTAAGCGTAGATGTTGTATCTCTTGTCCTCAACGTGTTGGGTTTCGACGGTCAAACCGCTGTTTTTCAAGTACTTGGTCAAGTAGTTAGCCACGGCATACTCATTGCCGGTAATTGACTCGATCTCCATCAAGGAACGGTGCAATTTGAGAAGAGGGTACTTCTCCTCAACGACATAGTCCTCCAATTTCGAAAAAGCATCTTCACTGTCCCATTTGGAAGCCAGCTTAAGATGAAGAGGATCCTGAGGCCAGTAGTCCAAGGGATTCCAGGCCAATACACACAGAGCACCTAGCAAAAGGTTGGAAAGAAGCATGGTGGTAGCGGAATCGTCGCGGAATTGATATCGATACTTATAGCCGAGCCACACCACTGACTCTGATCAACGGGCAATTTTCAGATCTGAGAGATCGTCATGGTGCCGCTAGCGGAGGTGTTCTAGCGCTAAGGTTGGGTGATTTTTGTTTTTTCCGATTACTATATACGAGGGTTAGTTACCCAGGGTTGGTGTTCCACTGATAAGATTGATAAGCCATAAGCATTAGAGCTGAACACACAACGACGAAGTTAAGCATCCTTTTCAGAAATGCCTTGCTCCTCTTTAGCCTGGGGCTCCTTGCCCTGAGCCTCTACCCTGGCGTTCTGGCGATCTTCTCTGTCCTGCTTCTGGCCATCAGCCCAGCCCTTGAACTTCAGCACAATGTCGTCAGCAATCTCCTTGGAAGCAGCGTCCTTGTCCTGAGCGTTTGCCACCTTGTTCAACATGTCTTGGACGTAGCTGAAGGTGTTGTTGATGTAACCATCCATGGTTTCGTTTTTGCCATCAGGGTTCAAAATGCCACGGATCGACTCCTGGAGCTTCTGGGTGTCTTCCTGGGAAGGCACGTCCTCGGGGCCAAACTCTTTCTTTTCGGTGTTCAGGGGCATGTTGTTGGAGATTCTACGGTCACACAAATAAGCTTTTATAGCCCAGGGTCTGGGGTCATTATCATATGAAGGAAAACTAGCCTCGACTACCTAATCTGGAAATACACCGATACGAAGTTTCTAGAAGACTCAGTGGGTTACTGACGCTTGCCAGTGTCGCCTTCAGTCTTTCCAAGCTGGCCTTCGGTCTTACCAAGGTCGCCTTCGGTCTTGAGATGGTCTTTTCCGAGCTGACCCTCTGTTTTACCAGCCTGGCCTTCAACCTTACCCAATTGGCCCTCAGACTTGCCCAACTGGCCCTCGGACTTACCTAACTGTCCTTCAGTTTTGCCCAACTGGCCTTCGGTCTTGCCTAATTGACCCTCGGTCTTGCCTTCAGTCTTTCCAAGGTGGCCTTCGGTTTTGGCATGCTCACCCTTGCCCAATTGGCCCTCGGTCTTGCCTTCCACCTTCTGGTTACCAGGGGCGACGCTCAGAAGCGTCTCTTGTGCCTGTCCTTTTTTAGCAAGGTTCTTAGCCTTGTCCAAGTCTCCAAGCTCTCCAAGTTCTTTGTGGTTTGACATGTTGAGGTTAGGCTAGCGTGAGCAAGGATACTTATATGAACTACTATACAAACTTCCAGGGCACAATAGTGCACGAGCCACAAACCATGACCCCGCCAGCCACCTAGGTCAATGGACCTCGGAATTAAGGTTTGCTTTGTTTGTAGGTAGGGCTTGGCTTCCATGACCTTGTTGGAGCTTAGCGGGATCTGGGAGGCGCACGAAGAGCCTTTTCAGTAACTTTGGTAAGCCTCCCTAATAAGCTACCTTGGGAAGCAAAAAGGAGCTCCTAAACTTTCCCCATATATTCCACATTCCATGGCAACAAGCGTGAGATCACTTGTCCAGCTGATCCCAGCAGGTGACAGCTGCAACATGCACCCTCAGCCTTGCATGGTCTCTTACGCCTGCAGAAAACCTCTCTTAAGCGGTGTCTGCAACGGTTTCACGAAACCAACCACCCACTATACTTCGAAAAATGGCCCAGGCGGCTCGTACCGCACGTGTTGTCGTGATGGATTGGGACGAGACCATCACAAAAAGAGACACCACGGCTTTGGTGGCCCAGACAGCGTACCGCTGCAAGTCCGGCCTAACCGATTTTTCCCATTATACGAAAATCTACATGGACGCTTATAACATGTACCTGGCCAAGTGGCTGGAGAGGAATAATCTTGAGCAGGAGATTGAGTTTCAGCGGGGGCTTAAGGAGGTGGAAATGACCCTGATATCGGCAATCGAAAGAGACGGTTTGTTCAAGGGTCTAACGAAAGGTGACCTAGCCGAGTCTGCTAATGCCGTTGAAATCCAGCCAGGTTTCGTTGAGTTTGTGAAGAAGATCCAGAATGAGTCTCCCTTGTATATATTGAGCGTCAACTGGAGTCGAACACTTATAGAAGCGGCATTGCAACGGGCAGGCGTGACGGGAATCACTGTTCTAGCGAATGAGCTTGAGTTTCATGGAAACGTTTCCACAGGCCACTTTGAAAGTGATATTGATATTCGTACTGGCTGCGATAAAATAGTGGAGTTACGCAAAATCAAGGAGAAACATGGTCTGGCGGTCATTTACGTTGGCGATAGTTCAGGCGACGTCTTGCCTATAATAGAGGCAGACACCGGCGTCGTCATTGAAGGAGGCAGAGCCACAAAGTACATCGAAGCCTTGGGCTACACGGTTGATAATGTTGAAAATAAGACCGGCATTGTTCCCGGAATCTACGGGGCAAGCTGGAAACAGCTTCTACATTTGTGGTAGCGTGCATAATTTCATCCTCTATAATACATCAAAAAATAGTGATTAAGTCAAGCCGTAAATGCAAAGCCGGGAGCAGGGCTTACGGAAGCCGGCTGCTGTGCAATGTGTCATGTCAAGTCCCGGTGATGTTGGGACCACAGGGCAGTGAGTGATACCCCACGGCAATAAATAGAACTGAAATAGTGCAATGTCATTCATACAATGTCCCTAGGGACAGATGAACTTTTTCTCTCTTTTTAACAACGGGGGGTAAAGCCCTCGATTGTTCATGGATGGTGGCGGGAACCAGCAAATGCAATATAACCATGCCCAAAGCATAGTGCCTTAAAATGAATGATTCAATGACCACGGTACCTGAACTCCAAACCGGTTCGATATTCAGGAAGCCTCTGGGCAAAGCCGATTAACGGTTCCACACACCTTGGTGAACAGGCATGTACTGGCCGTAAACGTAGCCTGGAGGACCCTGCACCGGGTAGCCGTTGGGAATCATCTGCGGATGGTTCACGGGGCTTCTGGCGGGTCCTGGAGGCTGGCTGTTGGGAGGAGGCGTCATGATACCGTTTGGAGGCTGGGCAAAGTGTGGTGGAGGACCCTGGAACATCTGAGGCTGGGGCATGTGGTCCTGGGGCAGCCAAGCCCGCAGTTGTGGAGGTGGGAGGTGGGCAATGGACTCGGGCAGCTTGCCGAGCGGTTTGAAGGGAACAGGGTACATGCTGTATTCTTGGGGGTGTTGTCCAGGCGGGTTGGGTGAGTGGGAGTATGCTGGTGCCGTGACTGCTGGAGGAGGTCCTGGAGGACTTCCCTGAGCAGATGGAGGGGGTCTTTGTTGCTGGGGCTCGATGTGCAGAGCACGGCGAGGCGAAGGAGCCTTGTCGTGGCCCTGGACGAACGCAATACGCTCCGAAGGAAGCAAGGTGACGAGGTCCCTGAGGAAAAAGTTGGGCACACCAACTGGCTGCGCCAAAGGTGGAACAGGCAGGTTCCTCAGAGCAGCAGCCTGGAGCTTCTTAGAACGTTCGTCAAAGCGTGCTGCGTTGTCAGTGTCGCCTATAGCACGGAAACACATGGCAGCACGGGAGCTAGCGTCTGCAGCGTCACCGAGTTGGTCGTCACAGCGTTCGTAGACGCAACTGAGACCTTCCCAGGCGGCGGCTGTGCCTGGCAGGTTTTCATTGAGTTGGAGTCGAAGAGCCTGAGAGTAGGCAGCAAGAGCGTCTGGAAGCTGCTTGAGTTCAAGGTACAACTTTCCAACTGCGAGCCAAGTGATAGGCAGGCTGGATGCACGGCGAAGTGCCACTTGGTAGCAGTCGTAGGCGGCTCTAGGAGCGTCAAGCACCGTGTGGGCCTTACCAAGGAGGTACCATGGCAAAAAGTCACCTTCGTCGTCCTCCTTGCGTTCTTCCAGGTCCACGACGCGAGAAAGAAGCGCAACGGCACGCTGGGCCTTTTCAGTGTCCTCGTCCAAAAGAAGGAGGTAGGCGTGCGTGATGAGAATACGAGGCAGGGCGCCAACGGCGGTTTCGGCACGTTCACAGGCCTCGAGGGCTTCTGGAATCTTGTTAGCACGCTCTTTGGCGGTAGCAAAGGCGCACCACAAGGCAATGTGCTCGTTCTGGCGGGCCAAAGGAGGAGGCGGGAGCAGGAGGGTAGCTGTGAGCTCCGTGATGGAGAGATCAATGTTGCCGTCGGCGGCGGCAATAGCTGCTAGTTCGGCATGGGCGCTTCTGGCGGTCTCAATGTCTGCTTTGGAGAACTCGGCCAACAGCGGAGGCAAAAGCAGGAGGCAGTGGTTGAGGGCCGAGGCGGCCTGGGCTCTGGCACCAGCACGAATAAGCGTCTGGGCCAGGAGAAGCTGCAAAGCTGGATCGTTGGGTGCTCTAGAGATGGCCTCCTGGACGGCCTGGTGAGCCTGTTCATTAAGTCCCACCAAGAGGTAGCACTCCGTGAGTTCTCTGAAAAACAGGGGCAGGGCGGTCACCTGGGGATGCAGTTCAGCCACGCTATTGAGTCTCTGGATTAACGCCTGGGACCCGGCTGTGTCGTTGGTGTTGATATCGTTCATACGGAGCAGGTGGCTCCAGCCAACCAAGGCATCCACGGACGCTGGGGCATGCACAAGGGCGCTTTCAAAAGCCCGTATAGCCGCTGCTACAATGCCCATGGTGGAGGCACAGTTGCCGATGGCGATCCATGTGTCAGCAGCTTTTTCTGGATATTCGTCGATTTTGGGCCTCTTTGTCGCTGGAGAGCCGGCTGCGGAGCGTTTGGCCATGGTGGATCAGAATGTATTCAGCAGGCGCTGTGTGGGATATGGATGTGCTGTTGTTTTATGGGAAACTGGATACTTTTGAGTGTTGGGATTTTTTGACACGCTGGGCGAGCAGCACGAGTGGGAAATTTGTCACTTGGTAGCAATAGCTTGCTGGGAAGGATGGAGGAGCGTGTGTGACTCTGGCCAGAGGATAGCTAAAGAAAAAGTAGTTTATTCAAGGGAATCCTCGACCAAAGGTGGGTTTTTTTTAGATAGTGCGTAAGAAATTGCCAGCGGGTTGGGAGGGACAATCCGGCTTAAGTAACCTAGGTAGCAGGCAAGTGATTCGGCGCATGGTAATGGAGGGGGTGCAGCTGCAGCAGCCAGCGTCGCAGTGATCCGCAGGACGCATGCATTACAACGCAGTGCAGAAAGAAATACCTGGCCCCCCGAGACCAGCGCCGTTTCGAACGCTCGGTACTGCACACAAGGTGATAAGGTCACAGTGTCCACAGTTTTGTGCAGAATTGTCCTTTTTAGCGTCGCAGCCGTCTGCAGCATCTCATGCGTGCCCGGCATACATTTCGGACTCTGCTGGACATGCGAGCATAGAAGCCTGCGTCAGTCTCACCTGCCCGAGGAACAGTACGATGGAGGAAACAGGCTTAAGGGATCGGCAAATCCGCGGGAAAGTTGTCCTTATTAAACTTTCAAGAAATGAGAATGTAGAGTGTACCTGATGGTCATTCATTAATACCCACGGGTCTAATACAAACGGACAATTACTTGTGTTTGATCCAGGGTTCATGCGCGGTGATATAATGCCCAACGCACATATCAGCGACGCATGTCGCTGCGGAAGAATATCAGTGAGGAACAAGAGGCGCACCTACATGCCATGCAGGCGGCATCTATTGTCGGGATTCGGCGCACTCAAACGCCCCACTGGTTTCCGTGAACGTGGCGGTTATGTGGCGGTGATGGTGTAATGGTGTACCTGGAAACAACAAAACCGAACAATTTTTCGCAATTTCAAATGTTCGCCAAAACGTCATCTTCTTCGGAATGGCCCGTCTGGCCCGCCCTGGGCGGCTTGTTTCCACTGCACCAGGTTAAGCCTGGACGCCGCGCGTGGAAAGTGCTCGTAAAACGATGCATCCACGCGCGAGTAACGGTCTGTATGCAGTCACGGACGTCGTCGATAGAGCTTCTGAGCCGCCAGCGGCGTGCCGACAGATCAACATGCGCGTATAAAAAATTGATTTAAACACGACAATTAGAAGTTTGGCAAAATTCAAAGTTCGCTATGTTTTTGGTAACGGCTAAAAATCCACCTCAAACGTGAACAAGCCATGTAAAAGGTAACGTTTGATCGGGCCATGCGGCGCTGGTATGCAGTCCTACACAGAGCCACATAGCGGCTTGAGCGGTGGGATTGTGCGGCGCAGGCGCAATGCTACCTAGACAAGAGGATGAGACGGGGGATATCGCCAAAACAGCCAAGCAACC